GTCTCCCGGCTAACACCACCGCGAATTCGCTGATTGTGGGTGGAGACGTCACATTGAACGGGCAAACTGCAAGCTCCGTGATGGCAACTGACGCCTCGAAAAAGATTACCTCGTTAGATTACAACCAATCCAATCAAGCCAATTCGCTCGTGTATCGAGACGCGAGTGGTAATTTTGGAACGAATGCGATCAATGTCGGGACCTTGCAAGTGTCGGGATTGACGGCGAATCAAGCGGTCGTGACGAATGGATCGAAACAACTGACGAGTTTGGGATATGATGCATCTATGTCGGGTAGCACCCTTGTACAACGCAATGTAAATGGAGACATCGACGCCAATCTCGGCTCTTTCGTTGCATGTAATGTGGCGGGCTTCACTTCACTTGGAACGGGAAATGTCGGCATCAAAATGGCCGTCTTCACTGGAACGACTTCTGGCTCAGCCAGTGGGACTACTGCGCAGAACATTACGATTGACAAGACTAAGATTGTGAGTATGAATGGAACGATTTTTGCGAGCAACGGTAAAATCATTGCGTTCAATACTGGCTCGGGTCAGTATTATGTGTATGCTGATGTGAGTGGCACCTCCTCCCCTTGGGTATTAACCGTAACAAATGGTGCAAGCGCCACGAGTGCATATAGCGTTCCATACAGTATCTTAATCACATACGTCGCGTAATAATAATTAAATCTGCAAAAAGATTTAATTATTTGGGTGGAGCCAGCGTCGGGATGGTTGCAACAGGAACATCCGGTAACTCGGTATCCATTTCGACCTTCACCGCGCCAAAGCAACACGAGCTGGACTTCATTTTGCGTAATAATGCGTACAGTCTCTCGATCACGAGCACCGCAACACCAACAATCAACGAAATTGTAACGGGATCCATCTTTTTATTTTAGCCAAAAACTTTTAAAAAAGAATTTGTCTCATGTAATTAAAAATGAGCGCACTCCTCGAACGGCTGGACGAGATCGATCGCAATAATAAGCGTAGAGATCTCGAAGCAAAGCTCAACGCCAACTTTAACGACTTTATGACGGCCGGGATTCCGGTCAATAAACGGACGAATCTCGATTTGATCAACATTTTGTATTATATTTCGTTGTTCGTCAATTCCACCCAAGAGCTTCGAGTTCGCAGTATCGATGCCCAAATTTCCATTGCATTAGACTTTTTCGAGCGTTTTTGCCACCAACATGAAATTTCCCTTGGGAAGTACAAGGTCGATGCCCATTTTACGTTATGCATCCGTCCCCCGGAAGATCCATTGTATCAGATCACCTCGTATTTTCTTAACAATTTCTCGAGTGTCCCTCCGGTCGCTGAACGTGTATCCACTGATAGTGTAAAACGCGGTGGATCGTTGCGAGTGAAACTGTCAAAAAAGACGTGATCAAAAATTGTATTGTGTGCTTCGTGACGACCGTGAAATTGGTGGCGATTCTCACATAATTTATTCATTTTATGCAAAATGAATAAATGCTTTTTACTTGCGCGACGGTGTCTCGATGAACGTTTCCAGATTACCCACAATTCGGACCTCTTTGGTGGCGTGTAAAATTACAATCTGATCAAAAAGGATAGTTCCCATGGCTTCCAGACGTGTCGAATCTTTGTTGGGATACACTTTAGCGTTTCCCACTTTGGTGATGATTTCATGCCTACCCACGTATCTTTCAATTTTCCATGATTCGAGCTTCAGAACCTTTTCTAAAACGTCCAGTAACGGAAAAAGGGTCCGTGATTCTATATCAATCGGTTTGTGAAAGAGTAAATCCTCACGAGCGAACCAGTTAGCGAAATAGTATTTCCCCGAGTCAAGATTATGAAAAACGTAGCGGAATGGGGTCTTGAACTGAACGACGGTAACTTCATCGCCGTTGTGATCCTGGACCACTTTGGTTTCCGCCGAGGCGAATTTCTCTTCTATATACTCCTTGGACGGGATGAGATCGTTGATACTGAACTCCATTTTATAAATTGGTTTAGTGTATTTAAACCAATTTCAATTTTGATATCAATGTTTCTGATTTTTACGCCACTTTTTATGAGCCTCCTCCAACCAATCATAGTAAGTTTGATGTGCTAATAGCTGAAGTGGATATTCAATAAAGGTTTCGACATAACCACAAATGTGGATCGCTTTGGTTGCAAACCGAATTCTAATGCAATTGATCCTCACACGTCCCATACCTCTCAAAAACTCAGCATCGGGGTCTTCGTGTCGATGATAATCCCTTTTCGGTCCCCCAACATCCGCTTCAATTATATCGTACCCCCTGTATTCGTTAATGTCCTCTCCTTTAGTCATCAGACATTTTTTCAAGGATTCAAAGAATACAGGTTGGGAATAGGGATTAATCACGATTGGTTCGATGTGGAGATATGTACCCCAATGATAATCAACGCTACCAATGTTCTGAAACACGTAGTGGAACGGAGACTTGAACACAAGATCGAAACCCGGATCGTCACGTGGGATTAGTATCGCTGAGGCGAATTGTTCTTCCATATATTCCTTGGACGGTTTGAGATCGTTGATGCTGAACTCCATTTTTATAAATTGGTTTAGTGTATTTAAACCAATTTCAATTTTGATATCAATCTTTACAAATGTTGGATATCCGCATCATCCACCCACGAGTTAAACTTAGCCGGACGCCCACGCCATTTGACCAGGTGCTTCTTTTTACCGCGAACGGTTTTGGTTTGGAGAATTTCCTCAATTACCGCTGTATCCGATGGTTTCGACACTTTCTGTAATTCCTGATTGTAAATTGGGGAATCGATATCTTCTCCCGCCAGATCTTGGATTTTGTACGTGACGGGAGTGGTTGGATTGATTCCGACCACAATAAAGGTTTCTTCCGTCCATTTCACGATTTTCGACGTATTCGCAAACGGATCGCGTTTAATACTCATCTTGACATAATCACCGACCTTAAATTTAGCGCGTTGTTGTGGGATTTTATTCCATTGGGCTTGGAGTGTGTCCTGGATTTTTGATTCGTTTTCCGGATTGCGCGCTTGTGTCGGGGTCATTTTGATGGTGGAATGTCGAGTCGTGTTGTAATTTTCCGTTAAATCCGGCAACACTGAGACCCAATCGAACGTGTTATTGTGTCGGCTGTATCGGACCCATCGCATTTTCATCGTGAGAATAACGCGTTCCGCCATCGATGCCTTCGTATCACTATTCGAGTGATAATGGGTGATGTTGTGCTTTTCCATTAATTTGCCCATCGGCTCATTGAAAAACTCTGTCCCTTGATCCGTTTGGAGGAGGGAGGGGTGACGATTGTCGGTGAGGACCGAGGCAAATGCTCGCGAGACTTCTTCGGCGCCTTTCGTTTTCAATGGGATAGTCCACAAAAATTTGGAAAAGGTATCGATAATCACGAGGATGTAGCGATACCCTTTATTATGTTTGATTTGAAAATTCATGTCCGCGAGATCGGCTTGCCACAAGTAATCCAGTCCGCGAGTGATCGTCGGCCGGCGTGGAAACTTGAAGGAATTCGGTTTCAAATAAGTGTATGAATCTTCCGTCGTTAAATCTTGTGGCGGAAGTCCATTCTCTTTTAGCTTTCGATTGAAGGCGGTTTGTCCGATAAATCCGAACTTTGGATCAGTGTATGACATTTTTGTGTGGGTGGAAACTTTTATAACGAACTTTGTTTCCAGGCTCCGGTGTTTTACGCGCGCGAATAAAAAATCAATTTTGGCGAATCGAAAATTGATATCAATTTAAATTGTTTTCAACTATTTTCAAAAATCATGGCCATTCGTCGTACCCGAAATCGTGTTCCTCAAACTCAACAACCCGCTGACTGTTCCCAATGTCTCGGATGCAAAATGAAGGCTCTCAATATGGAAGTCATTCGTTCCATTCTATCATTTCGGTCACTCGTTCGTACATATTATCGATACGATGCGGTCGAGAAGAAACACTACACGAGGAATAAAGACGACATTGAATCGGAGACAACGGAAGAAGAGACAGATGACCTGCTCAAATACCTCCTCGATCGGACGTTGAACGATATCAAACGTAAAATTGATCAACTCGACCTCCCCGAAGGAAATCTGAATGCGTTCGTGTTTAGCATTTTCAACGATCTGTTGTCGTTTGCATTCGTAAATGCTGTAAAGTCCGCTGGATATCCGATCGAATAAATATCATATTTCTGTTTCACACAGACATATGAAATTGACAATTGTACAATATTTTTTATTCATTTCAAAAATGCTGGCAAAGAAACAATTGTCCAAGCTGTTCGATGACCTGGAGTTATTCGTTCCGGCGAGGGTGCAAACCGTAAAGAATCCCCGTCAATCGTTTATTTTCGATGGGTCGCGTTGGAATCCTGTGACTGAAGAAGTCGCTAACAAATTTCGGGACCAAATCTATCTTGTATTTGTTGCACCACACATTGATAATTGCAGTGATGATCCGGATGTTTGTGCGCGAGCGAACTCTGCGAATGATCGTTTTGTGAATGTGTTATCCAAAACTTTTGTTTGCGATGTTCCTGATGAAATTTCATCGCTACCCTCAAGGATCCAAGAACGCTTTGCTTTTCAACGCTGGCGTTGATTGTCCAAAAATAATACAAATTTTCAAAAACATTTACAAGTCTTGTTAGAACTCTTGTAAATTTCGAATATAACGGGACAAAGGTCAAGGGTTCGAACCTCAGCGACGACATTCATTCGGATTGCATTAATGAGATCCGCGGTTTTTTGTTTTTCGGTTTTCAATGTCCGAGGACATTTCTGGCCGGCCGAGCCGAGCCGAGCTTCGGCATTTTTATTTTTTAAATAAAAATGCATTTTTCCTCCAAAGTCTTTGAGCAAATTCCAGAGACAAACCCTTATTCTCCATCATCTGATTCGCATCGCCATCTTCCCCCCGCACCCCCTCCCCCTCCACAAAAAAAAAAATAAAGGACCATCGCCATCCCTTCCTTCTCTGGTGGAAGGAACGAGACTGGTCTGAACCATACAGTACCTCAAACAAAAAGAGGTGAAAAAGTGGGTGGTCCTCCAAAAATCTTCTTTTTTTCGCTAAGGCCTTTTTTTTCTTCCATACGAAAGCAATTATTCTTTATCACTCTCTCACTTCTTCACCTAAAAAAAAATAATAATATAATATAGTCTATATTGATTGGGATCTAAAATCGAGGTTACCCTCGGTCACTCTCACCCGCGCGAAGCGCGGACGTCAAATCGCGCCAGCGATTTCATCCTCTCTATCTACTACTCTTGTCACCTGGACGGGAACTTCTTGTCCCGAGGTGCAGTCGATGCACTGACACAAACGGGCAATAAAGGCACTACCTGTAAGCACATGAGGTAAGACTCTGAGTATTCGCAAGAAGAAAAATGCACAACACAACGGTTAGATGCATTGGCTGAAACTATTGTTGAACAGAGTCCAACCCAAGAAAGAGCCGTCGCCCGCCACGTCGGCGCTGAATGCCGCTACAGCAGCCGCAAGCATTGTGCCTCAGAGTCCCGTCACTCTTACAACTGAAATTCAGCAATTGCGCTCGGAGCTGGCTGCCAAAGATCAAGAGCTCGCGGTGAAGCATCAGGAGCTCGCGAGGAAGGAGCAGGAGCTCGGTGCAAAGGAGCAGGAGATCGCAGCCGCAAAGCTGGAGCACGCAGCCGCAAAGCTGGAGCATGCAGCCGCAAAGCTGGAGCTCGCTGACGAAAGACAACTACGCGCTGCAAAAGAGCAGGAGCTACAAAAGCTTCTGCTCGGAGTTGCAGACAGAGAAGATTGGATCGATGTAAAGTCGCGAGCGGCCGATGAGGAAGCAAATGTTTGAATAAAGTGAAAACGTTAAGGAACTATGGGAGCATTATGACACTCACGTGACAAGGAACGCAAAATGCATGGAGAATGCGCAAACAGGAAAACAGCGTAGAAGCAAACGAACAAGGGAAGTTAAGCGTTCCTGGGGGAAACCAGTCGTTCTAGCTGCGCTTAGACAACCAACGGAACAAACAAAAATCAAACGAAAAGCGCCGAACCAAAGTGTTCGGGTAGAGAGCAAGCGATGACAGCAGAAACTGGAACAGAAAGAAAAAAGTCGAAATGTCATGTCGAAGAAGAATAAAAACAAATAACCCGCAACTCGTGCAGCAGCAAAAGTCGCGCACGGACGAAGAGTGGGGCGAAATGGAACAAAATTGACAAAATCAAAGCCAACAAAAAGCCAGAAAGCATACAAAGTAGCAAAACAATCAGAAACAAATCAGCAACCAGGGTCAACGAACACAGTGGAAATGTTTTTTTCCGAATTTCGGAAGAAAATACGCCGAATTTTGGTCAAACAGTTTTTTCCAGTTCTATCGGTGAAAATTCGGTTCAAAATTCGGTGCCTCAGCAGAGCGAGAATATGGCGATAGCTCGACGTCTGATTGGTCAGAATTTGCTTTCTTGGTCTCCTTTTATATTATTAAAAATGATTTTTTTTAATTTTTAATAAAATTTATTTTATTATTGGTTTCCATATTTGCACAAATTTACAAAAATCTCAGATCGCCCCCGCCTGCACCTTGCTGGTGCTTTGTACTTGCCTTTGGAGGGCGTGACTGGTAGCACACTGGCCAAGCATCTTGAAGCCCCGAGCTCCGCTTTGCTCCTTTCCGCATCTGTTCAAGTAGGAATCACAAGTTAGTCACTGTTCTGTGTCATCATGCATGACAGCTGACGGCGGGGACTTACACGTTTGCTTCAACGAGACACGTTGTCTTGCTGGCCGAACATTGCGATTGACTCCGTCTCGATCATCAGTTTCACACGCCTGCGACACATCAGCTCACAGTGAGTATTTCATCTGTTGCGTTCTCCAATCGAACAGTATGCGTACCGAGCTCAGCACCACTTGGACGGAAAGAAGCCTGTGCGATGTGACGAGTGCGAATCTCAAGTTTTTTTCGCAATGTTCTTGTTCTTTGCAGCGTAGTGCTTGTTTGACTTGATCCAGCTCGACAGCCGCCGCCCGCTGAAGCGCGTCAATGACAATCTTGGACATCAAGTGGATGCTGTGCTACTTGTGATCATATTCCAAGGTGAGGCTGGAGTGCGAGACAAAAGTGTCTTCTTTTTTGTGGTGATTTTTGGGGTCGTCATAGAATTGGGTGTCAACCACCGCTGCTCCTCAGGACTCGGGTGCAGCGGCATCCCGTTGCCCAATCAGCATGGCGATGTGATGGCCTCGGAAACTGGCGTCTTATTGTGACGACGATCCTCATAAGTCGCACCCATCCACAGTGCGATCGCACCATGCACTCTCAAACACGCATACACGTACGCACATGACAATCGTGTGTGCTGGTCTGCGGCATGGGGCTGAGCGACGGCGGCGTCGTTTGAAGCGGCTTTGTCATTTCAACCAATAACATTGTGGTCTGTATTTTTATTTTATTATTTTGACAGCTCCTCCATTTGAGCACTCTGTTGAGGAGGGCGGCATGAAATTCCGTCAAAAACCGCTCCTGTAGCACCGATTGGACCTTGCTGTGCCCATCAAATCGATGGCGATGAACGTTGGTGCTGAGGAGGGAAATCGATCAATTGCATCCAATCCAGCCATTCGTCCGCCAAAAGACAAAAGACACCCATCTTTTGCCCTCGAGCTCCACGATGCCATGTCGTCAGAGTCGTGCACAAGGGCCTGATTCAACAACAAGGGCCCTGCTCTGAAGTGTGCAAGCAAGGACTCTTTCCACTCGTCTCCCTTGCGTGGGTGCAACTGCTGAGCATTGTTGAAATCCTTCAAGTCTGCTCTTTTGCTCAATGACCCTTTGAGTGATGGTTTTGCAGTTGTTCTTCGTTCCTTCGATTTAGATCTACTCTTCATTCTTCTTTTCTTTTCTTTTATTCACTTCATTCCTCGCAATGGCACTGCAGCAGCGCAGTTTCGCGTTCGCAGCAGTCGCAGCACTTGAGCATTGAGCATTGCCGTCCTCAGCGCTCACGGTGCGGTTTGCTTTTCGTTGTGGCTCACTTCAACGCTCCTCCTCCTCCTCCTGCTGCGTCTTTATTCTGCTTCTTTCTGTCTTTCTCTTGCCTTGATCGATGCGCGTCAAGTGTGCTCTTGGAGTGGCGAGCGACTTCCGACCTGGCTGGCAATCAACACTCAACGCCTTCACGCTAAACCGCTCATCACCCGCTCGTTGTAATGCCAGCAGGAACGAAGAGATAAAGCCGTCGACGATGGAAGCAAAAGCCGGAATGAAACACGCAGAGCTGCATTTAGCCCGCGTTTATTGACATGCTCTTGTTAACGAGAACCCCGGGATGGAAAGGCATGCACGGGCACACCAGCAACAGAACCGTCCTCCAGGATGGACATTGAGTTCATCCCGGTCGAGTGGAGATTGGCGAGGTATGGAGGGAGCTGCGCTGCCGCCATCCCACGTTGCGTCAATTCCTTCAACCCTTCAATCACACTTGGCCCGCGAAGAACAATCTTGCACCGAAATGGCTTTGAAGGAATACTAAATGGAACTCCCAACGAGGTGCCCTGGAAGAGCGTTTGGCTGCTCAGAGCCACCTCCTTGAGCACAGGTTGGGCGTTGGGTCCAAACTGCTCCAATGCAACGCGCTTGACCTGCTGTGTCTCTTCTTCGTCCTCTTGTACAATAACCTGGGTGTCCATGTTAGAAAATTCTTCCCGCCCTGTCAATCGCATGTGTGTTTGAGAATCAAACCAAAACCAAAAAAAAAAAAAAAAAAAGTAGAAAAATCAACAAAGCACCGCCAGCTCTAATAGCACTGCCGCACCTTGTGCTGAAACCTTTCGTCGCCGACGGGCCAGTGGGTGCTGATCTGTCTGGTTGAGTGCAAGCGCGCTGTAGGGACCCTGGGCGTCGTTATGCAGCGACATGGCAGCAAGCGAATCGAGCTGCGGCGTGGTTAATGCGAGCTCATCGATTCTCGCGCAACCCAGCACGGCAATGAGCGTCTGCAACAGGTAGTTTTTGTAGAATTGCTTCATTGGCTGGGACGCAATCATTCGGGTGTGGGGGTAATACACGAGAATCACCGTCGAGTCCGGATACGGTTGCAGCCGGCCTTCCTCGCGCATTTGTAGGCGAATCCAAGCCGCGTCGGGTAGATGATGGACGAGAACATGCTATTCAGGCAACGTGGACACAAACAAAAAAACATTGCAACCAAAATTGCAACACCGAAACAAAAAAAAAAAAAATCAGCGAAAATTCCAAATTGCGCAGCAAGACACACTCTCGCATGCACTTGTTCACTTTACCGTGGGAAAAAACACATTCATGCGTTCGTGGATGGCTGCTTGAAGGGCGTGCGGGGGCACTGCCTTGCGCCACGCCAATTCGGCAGCAGGAGCCAGAGCGTTCAGAGCATTCGATTCGTTGTCATCCACTTTGGGAGTATCGCTGTCGAGGTATACCAAGCGCAACGATCTCCAACTCTTTCGCGACGTGTGTGTTGATTGTACGTCTAAAGCCACAGACAGAGGAACGGGTGTTCGAAACATGCGTTTTGTGTTTGTTGTCAGCATCCAACCAGGAAATGCAACGCAATCGCGCAATGCAATTCTGTCTGCTCCAACCAACATCCCAATACCAACAAAGCAAGTACTTACAAGTCAGCTCTGCATTTGCCAGATCATCAACTGACATCCCGTTCGCCTGAGATATTGAGCCAAGAACAAAAAAAAAATCATTGCGGGTGAGCCAAACTCCAGCAATCTCGAATCCAAACTTTGGAATCCAATGAACTGCATAGTGTCCATCGTTATTGCTTACCATGTGTGTCTTCATGACGAGGTCGAGGATTTGCTCGCGCACGAGTCGCTGAGCATGAGCTGGGACTCCCGCCGTCTTGACCACCGCACGGGCGCCACGCCCTGCAGCAGTGGCCGAAGCGCCTCGCTTGCCATGTCGTTCATCGTGCGCGCTTGCACCCATCGACGACGACGACGACGAGGACAGGGACGACGCGGCGGCAGAAGCAGATGAAGCAGCAGACGCGGCAGCGCGGGACTTGGACTTGCCCGCCGCCTTGGACTCGGCCAGCGCGGCCACGTAGCGGTCGACCTGCGCAGGCGTGACTGGGAACAACCGCAGCAGCTGCGTTGGCTGCAGGCGGTTGAGGTGCATCCGGACTGTCCGCCGGTCGGACGCCATAACTGAAGCTTGAATCTCGGTGCTTTTCTGTCGCTCTCAGTCGCTCAATGTCGCTCTCCGCCACTATGACTGTAAAGTGTCGAGAATTGTGCTGGTTGATTCAGCGACGAGCGAGTATTACTGAACAGCCGAAACAAAAAGGAAAGAAAAAAACGACTGCCGAATCAACAAAACTGAAGTGGAGTGGTTTTGGCGCCAAAAATTCAAAAAAACAAAACAAATACAACCGCCTTAAATCGGCTGCAAACGTTTGATCTTTGCCGTTCAGCCGCCGAATGTCAGCCATAACGCAAACAAGCAGATCCACCGACATGCCAGACCCTTTCAGTCTGCGCTTTACACGAGCGTCTGTCAGAATATGTTCAAAAAGGAGGGTGGAGTCGCTGCAGTCATCATTTCGCTTTGCGTACAAAGGCACCACCACTACCCGACGACCGACCGTCCTCCAACTATCATGACACTGCTGCTGTACGACAAGCTTCCAACGCAGAACTTGCAGCAGCACGCGACCATCCTGGTACCTCGCAGCACCCAACCCCCTTCCACTTGTCAAACTGTTGCTTGGTTGTTGCTGTGTGTGCATTGTGCCGTGGGGTCATCCGCCGCCTCCAGTCTGACTTTGCCGTCCAACCCAGCTTGTAGGCACACACGGCGTCGGCAAGAGCACTCTCGCACACGCACTGCTGGCCGAGCAAGAGCGCGCCAACCTCGCCATCCAAATGTACCCATTCATGCTCTCACGACAAAATAACTTGAGACGATGACATCCTCACCAGCATTGCTGCATTGTTCGAATGCACAGACGGAAAGTTGTTGCCTTGCCATTGCCAACGAGCGGAAGCGCATCGACGCGGCCAAAGATTGATTTCGTCGTATTCATGCTGGACATGACAAGCAAACTATCACTCGATTTGCTCAAGTCGGCAATTCAACAGGTCGATATCGAATACTTGATTGGAAAGAGCTGCATTGTCGCAACGCATGTCGACATGCTCCATCTCGCGAGTATCGAAGTCGACGAGATTGACCAACTGCTACTCACCTACGAGCTCCCGTTCCTGCAAATCAATCAACTGGTACAGTGATTCGTGATACAAGACAAACTGGCATTCGAAGAGCGAGAGCGAGCTGGTCTGTCTCTGTGGCTCAATTGGTTCTACTCTTCTTCTTTGTTGTTTTGTGCTTTTTGGGCCGTTGAACAGAACGAGCAACAACGTGCCGGTATTGCACAGCGCATTCTAAGACAGGCCCGTGTGGCTGTCGGACGTGCCAATCACATGACGCCTGCCATCGTTGCAGCAATGGAGCGCGCACTTGTTACTTCTACCTTGATCAACGATGACAGCTAGTTCATCCAAAAACCAAAACAACTTGTTCAATCACCCAATGTAACAAAAAGATTCGTTAGCGTATTGTTTTGCACAAGACAGGCACGTCGACTCAATTCAATGCAGCATGAACGCACAATCCAGAAACAATCAAACCGTCGTAATGATTATTGATACAAGCTCGAACAAAAAAAAAAAAAAAAATATTGATACAACATGTTGAGATCCAACAAAATTCTCCTGAAACAAAAAAATCTACGCCTTTGTGTTGCCTTTCAACATGTTGCGACGAGCCACGCGACTTGGGGTGCCCGAAGAGGTGGACGGCGTTGACGATGTTGTGGGGCCGGCCAGGCCAGGTGCAACGTACCGGGGCCCTGCGTTCGCAGTGGCAGTGCCTGACGGTGCTGCAGCGCTGTGCGATGCTGCAGCGACCGGAGGCGGCGCGGTTGCGGGTTTGACAGTGGTTTTCCGGAACGAAGACCCTGACGCCACCGACCCGACGCTCGGCGAAGACGGCGTGACCGCCACACCGTTTGCACGAGCTGTAGGAGACGGGAAGAGTGGCGCAGTGCGCAATGCTGCGGGCAACATGGAAGCCGCAGCAATCGGACCTCGCGCTTGTGGTGTGGAGAGTGGCTCGCGTGATTGATCCACCGACAGGAAGTCGGGAGTGCCGATCTCAATCCGATTTTCCGCATTCACAGACATTGGGACGGAAACGGGAGACGGGCCTGGGGTTGGTTGGCTGAGCGTCGGGTCCACCGGCTACAAGGAACAACAAAATGACAAACGAATGAGAAATCACACACACACACACACACACACACACACACACTCACACACATCCACGCCAATCGCAGCCGAACGACATACAGGGCTCACATAGTACAACTCTTCATAAAGTGATCGAATCGGGAGAGTCGAAAGCACTGATGAGAACAGCTCGCACAGCAACTCGTAGTTGGGCGTGTCGTCAAACCGCAGATGCCGGCAGTAGGTCATGTACTCAAAGAAGGCAGCTAATGACAAGAAAGAAAACCGAGATGGCGAAACCCAAACGCAAACGTCAGCGCCAGAAACGCACCTTTTCATGACGCGCGTTCGTGCGGCCAAATCTTACCAGGATGACCTGCGCAGAGCTCTGCCAACGGAGTGGACAGCTTCTTTTCAGAAATGCGATCGTACTTTTCCTTCTTGTTGGCAGCTTTCAGCCCCTGCCAAGGCAAGTTGCCTCGCAAAAGGTAGAGAAACACATAGCCCAGCGACTCGAGATCGTCTCGGCGACTTTGTTCTGCGGCCAGTCCAATTCAAGAAATAAAGAACGTCCAAACAACACAATCAGACTCGAACGAACATTGGAAACCAAACAAACAAAGGATCAAAGGCAGAAAGAAAAAGCAAAAAAAAAAAATAAAATAAAAAAATTAAAAAACACAAAACACACAAGCCACAGCAGAACTGACCGATTCCGATGTGGGTGTTGACACTGGCGTAGCGGGCTGTGCCGGTGAGGCTCTTGTTTTCTCGGTGGGGAATGTGGATGTGCTTGGAGTCGCGGAAACGCTTGGCGAGCCCGAAATCAATCATATAAACAGTGGTGCTCTTGTCGTTGTTGCCAAGCAAAAAGTTGTCGGGTTTGATGTCCCGATGCAGGAAACCCTTCGAGTGAATGAATTCCACTCGTCGCAGCATCTGGATGGCGAGGGTGAGAATGGCCTGGAGGGACAAGCTTTGTCCGCGCGCTGCAAAAACGTCCTCCAGGCTCAATCCGAGCAGCTGCATGACCATGACGTTGTGCTCGGCCTCTGTGCCCGAGTAGTAAATGACCGGAATGCCCTCTAAATGGACGGTTGTAGTGTTCAAGTGACGAGCGTGAAAACAGCGCAATGGCAATGAGTGACAAGGTGCGGGTTTTTTTTTTTGTTTGTTTGTTTGTTTGTTTGTTTGTTTGTTTGTTTCGTTTGGCTGGAGCTCGGGTTGAATATCTTACCGCCGCCTTGCAAGTGGCGTAGCAAGCGCGCCTCGTATATCAACTGCGGGTGTCTTGACTTTACTGGTTCGCATTTGATTGCAACTGCTTCGCCCGTGGCAATATTTGTTCCTGTCGAAATTCAAAAGCAAGTGTGAGAGTGAAGTGAAGTGAAGTGAAGTGAGTGAAGTGAGTGGAGTGAGTGGAGTGAATTGAGTGAGTGAATTGAGTGTGTGAGCTGAGTGAATCGTTCCCCGCTCCCCCTCTATCACACCACCCTCCCTCCTCCTCATCCAGTCCAATGTCATTCTTCAATGCAGTCAAAGTGAGTGAGTGAGTTGCTGTGACTCACCTTGGAAGATGTCGCCGAACGAGCCGCTGCCGAGTCGCTTTCCGACCCTGAATGTGTTTGCAATGCGGAAGAACGACGACGACGACGACGACGACGACGACCCGGACGAGCGCGGTGACGCTGGTGCTGCTTGGGCTGGTGCTGCTGGTGCTGGTGCTGGTGCTGCTGGTGAGGAGGAAGGGTGCGCGTCGGCGCTCTGGCCTGGTCCTCGTGGCGCTGCTGGTGTCGCGGCTAGCGTGGGCTCGGCTTGCTGTTGATGTTGCTGCTGCTGCTGCTGCTGCTGCTGCTGCTGCTGCTGCTGTTGGGAGTGGTAGTGGTGCTGTTGCGTGTCGTCGTCATTGCTGTGAATTTGCTCCATTTATGAGCAAAAGCGAGAGCGACTTGAAAAAAAAAAAAAAGAAAAAAAAAAAAAAGCGCGTCGAATACGGAAATAATAAAAATAACAGTACAACAGTGAGGAAAAGAGTGAGAGCGCACGCAGATAGATATGGAGAGAGATGGAGAGAGAAAGCATTGATCACTAAGAATAATGGGGAGAGATGGAGAGAGAAAGCATTGATCACTAAGAATAATGGAGAGAGATGGAGAGAGAAGGCATTGATCACTAAGAATAATGGAGAGAGATGGAGAGAGAAGGCATTGATCACTAAGAATAATGGAGAGAGATGGAGAGAGAAGGCATTGATCACTAAGAATAATGGAGAGAGATGGAGAGAGAAAGCATTGATCACTAAGAATAAGAAGAAGTACTACACGACCGATGAATGCAGGACAACGACACGAGGCGGGTGGCTTGGAACTAGGACAATGATGCAATGCATTGGCAACATCGAAGCATCTAACAACCTCAACGCAATTCTGGACTCGTAGCAAGCAATAGCATGTCGCTCTCATTCTCTATCTATCTCTCTCTCTCTCCCTTCCTTTTTTCATCAGGACGACTCGTCAAGGAATTGGAGCCGAGCCATGACTGCCTCGTCGCCGTGTGCGCTGCGAACAGCTGCAACCCTCGCTGCATCGTCTTGACCAAGCAATGCCTCGTCTTCTGTGCTCGTCCACACATGCGTTTGAGGCACGGCTGCGGTCCCAAACATCAACCGATGAAACAATAAACCGTTCAAAGCCCACATCAGTTTCCACATGCAACAACCCACCAAAGACAAATTCTAGACGTACGGTAGCCGAGCATATAGCGTTCCGTCAACTCGAAATCACCGTTGCAAGCGTACAGAGCACGCACGGTTATGTAGACGGCGCTTTGACAACGCTTGGACAAATCCTCAATCCGCTGTCGCAAGCCCCGAAGATGGGCGTCAGCATCTGCTGGCTCTTGCGACCCTGCAAAGGCATCCGCAAACAGTCGCTTTGCCGGATGGTGGGATGCAGCCTTTGAATTGTGAATGCTGGGGAGCAGGTCGGCATCGTCATCCGCCCCGTCCGCGTCTAGCGCATGCGAGGTGTGCCGGTTGTTGCCGCGAATGTTCGTGGCGGGCTCGTTGTCAGAACCACCGTCGTCTTCTTCGACTTGAGCTTCCGCCAACATCTTCTCGGCAATCTGCCGTGCCTGGCCAATGTCGCGCGCACTCAGAAACTGGCCCAACTGGGCTGCTCCTGCTCCGCGAGTCAATTTGAAGCGCGGTTGCAACACAGAGTTGAATCGATGCTTGATGGCCCTTCGCGAATGGTCGCCGAATCCCTGTATGTTGCAGTCAACAAGCAAAATTGGAGCCAAATCGGAAGACAGACAATACAATGCAACAAAGCAACACGACACTTTCTTTCCGTGTTGTTGTTGTTGTTGTCGTCGTCGTTTTGTTGTTTTGTTGTTCCAAGTGGCTTTTTTACCTGAATTTGAGCAGGAATGTCGCCATGGACGGCATGAAAGTACAAACTGATTTCATCGTCCTTGTCTGTGAAGTTGACTCGTGTCGCCTGACTGCAGGGTTTTTGGTTTGTTTTGTTTGTTTGGTTGTTTGTTGGGGTTGTGTTTGTTTCATCCACATTGTACATTGGTTAGCTTGTGAGCTTGCTCAAAACCGTGGCTGGGCATCATTGCAAGGTCACCAACCTGGTTCGACGCCGGATCTCGTACTGGGCAACGTCCAAGAGCTCGGATTGCTCGACCGAGTCAAATACCCATTCAAACCGAACGCAGATCTTGAGTTGCTCCAATTGCTGAAACGCCGTCTGAGCGAGCTTCGGATCGACAAGCACAATTATCGCCGGGTTGGTAATCGCTGCGTTTGGCTGGCGAACGACTTTTCCGCCGCCACTCTGTCGAAAGCAACGCACAAAAGAAAATCACCCATGCATCAATGCAAGTAAGTACGACACGCGGCAAACGCGACGAATCAAAGTCAAAGGCTGAACGAGCAAACGAAGGGTTGAAGCGGAAACCGGAGGATTCGAACTCAGATCGAGATCAAGAATAGGGTTTTAAGACTGAGTTTCCAGATTGAGATATCTGAATTGTCTGAGAGTTGTCTGCGAATTGTCTGAGATTTGAATTTTGGCGCCATTTTCGCATCTCTCGCTTTTCCCATCTGCTGCCCTCTTCCCATCCCCCGCCCTCCGCCCTCCGCCCTCCGCCCTCCGCCCCTCCGAGTCTCACATCCCCAGCGCACCGTCCACTGCCACGATCAGTGTGAAGGACAATGGGCTTCCAGCGACACCGACCCCTTCGCCCAGTCGCTGCGTGATGCTCGCGTTGGGAGTCGCGTGCAGAAACTGCGGAATGACGCGTTGGGAGTCGCGTGCAGAAACTGCGGAATGACGAGGAACGGCATTGGCGCGCCAGTTTCAGTCACAAACAGCGGCATTATTGAACTTGTATGTTGAGATTGGAGATGTGAAAGAATGAATGAATGACTGGGGAACTTATCAATGAATCAATGAATGAATCAATGAGTGAATCAATGAATGAATCAATGAGTGAATCAATGAAGCAATCAATGTATCAATCGATGAGGAAAGGATACAAGTGCAAGAGGAGAACCGGTCAATTCGAGCGGAACGACTAGACCGCCTCTCTACCGATGCTCGCATCGCGTCATTGTACTACTCGTGGACAAGCCTTCGCAAACTATTCACGAGTGGATTGGTCGGCCCATGCGTGATCGTCAAGATGGCCAGGGCGCGAGCGTGAGCATCTTTGGCGCGAGCGCCGTCGTTGTCCGAACTGTAGATGTCGCCGAGAGAAAACCTGCCAATATCGACGAGTCCTCGTGAGCAAAAGAAGCAAGCGGGTTACGCAGGTGTCACAAAATGACCAAAACAATCCAAGATAAGCGCTGCTTTTCGTTTTTTTGTGTGTGTGCATGTTTGCGTGTGTGTGCATGTTTGTGTGTGTTTGTGTGGGCAGACGACACTCACCATTGAAGACCCAGAAGAGGATGGTTGGCTGGATAGATGCGCTGGTACACCCGAATGACATGCCGAGCAGAATCAACCAGGACGTTCCGCAGGCCGGACACCAGGGCGAGGTCACGCTGTCGCTCGCTGAGCGCCTCCTCGCGCCAAAGCAGCGCCATGCCGAAAATCTTGACATTGGATTCAAATAGCTCCAGGTTGTAGTCTCCAAGCAAAGCCTGGCGAACGGCCCATGCTGTCACGAGCAAAACGATGGCTCGCGCTGTGGGAAGGCGAGGGTCCATGCCTTCTTGCAGCCACGACCTGCTCGCCTGCAGGAGCGCTTCCACATCGGCTGGGCTGGAAACCTTCGGCACGTCCCTTGTGGCACGCTCCAACAAGCTGGGAAGTCCAGCGAGTCGCTCGAGCCGAAATCTTTTGAAATACGCCGGGATGGTGTCGATTGGCCGCGTTGCGACGAGCTCGGCGTCCAACTCTTTTGCGGCGTCAGAGTCATTGCAACGCGAGCAGTTGCAGTCAAAGGCATAGAGTGACTTGAGATGCGCCTTGCGCACCACGGTTGGCGATGCTGCATCTGTAAACGCGTGTGTAATCTCCTCTCCAGCACGGATATCCCGAATGGCACGAATAAACTGCCGCTTGCTCTTCAGGTCGTACGTGAGCACGCAGTTTGCGACACAGGCGTGGTTGACCAGAGCAGCCACCGGATAGATGCCAGAGCCCCGCGCAAAGAGAATGTCGTTGTGGATGGCAAAGTTGTTGCACTGCATGACGCACAGCAGGTGCAGCATGAACTGCTCTGGGCGCGTCGAAAAGAGCCGACCTTCCTCGCCAAGCAGCTCTGGTGTTAGCTTGTCAAAGTCGGGACCAAATCCGCCCGAATACCGGGTGGCAAGCAGTGCAGCGAGCTCTGCGTTGCTTGCGTAGCGTTTTGCGTTTGCCCTTGCCAGCGGCAGGGCGTTGGACAGCATGAGCGCGACATCTTCGAACGTCGGGCTTTCGAGATCGTCCTGCGACGGCGGCGGCGGCGGCGGCAGAGTGCGACTCGACCCTGCCACTTGGCTCATGCGTGCATCAATGATGCGAGCAGCTAAATTGACCTCGTTGATGGCGACAGGATCGTCATCCAGCACGCCGTCCTTTGTGTACGGCTGCAACCCGCGCACCCAAGCGGCGCACTCGGCCTTGTGTCCGCCGTGCCAGGCCGCCCGCTGGCACTCGACCGAGCAGTACTGAGCACGTCTGCATTGCGCGCATCGCTTCATCTCTGCGGCGGCGGCGACGTCGGCGTCTTCGTCTTGAGCTTGAAAGCACTCGCTGCATCGGCCTAAAACGTATGGCAAAATCCATGCATTGGGGTCAGTTGCTCCATCCATACCATGCCACTCATTGCTATGGACCACCATGAGCATGCAAGCGGCATATTGAGCATGAGCACGGTGCCTTGCCTGCGGCGGGCCCGTCCGTGTCGGCGACGGCTGCGTATGGCTTTGACGCGAGGACGAGTTCGCCTGCACGAAAGTCGCGCTTGGCAGTGATGTGGCGGCCGAGTGCCGGAGTGTACGCCAGAGCGAGGCTGTGCCGATCCAGCAGCTTGGCGGCGCGCGGCGTGATGCGCTGCGGCGGATGAAACGGCGAGATCAGCGACATTGTGGATGAATGTGTGCGTCTGTGTGTGTGTGTGTGTGTGTGTGTGTGTGTGTGTGTGTGTGTGTGTGTGTGTGTGTGTGTGTGTGTGTGTGTGTGTGTGTGTGTGTGCGGAGTGATTCACTGAATTGAATTGAGGGAATGAGCAAAGTGCAACAAAAGCGAACGGGGAGCGGACGAGACTGGAGCGACTGAGATGAGGCAGTGAAGTGTGGTTGAATGGATGGTAATAATAATAATACGAGTGGAGACAAAGTACTGTATGTGTTCTGCAATGGTGATTGAACCCAAGAGACAAGACGGGGGAACACCTTCCGGTTCGCTCTAATGCACAGTCCAGCCAATTTTCGTTTTGAGATTGTCGTTTCGTTGCATTGGAGTTTGGCAATCTGTCAGATGCATGTCGATCCACAGTAATTCAAGTGATGCATTGACATGAGATCAGAGGGTGGGTGGATGATGGGTCAGTCTTTGTATTGAATGGCGACTCGGTTAGTAACGCCAGTAGCCGATTAGAAATCCTCGATTCATACTGATGATACTCACCGAGCGTGTACCTTTTGCTACCCCGATTGCTTCACTTCTTCTTTCGATCTCGCTCTCCTTCTCCTTCCATCTCGCTCTCAGGCTCGAGCGGCTGCTCTTGCTGCTCGACACTGGGTCAACGCAGGCCACACGGCGCGCTGCAGCCGGGCAGGTCGGCGAGGTCCTCCGCTACCACCCGCACGAGCTCTGGTCGCTCCTCGCCAAGGTCAGTCTACTCACTCTCACTCTCGACCTCACTCAGCACGAAGATGACCAGCACAGTCGGGGAATCTGTGTCTGGGACGGCGATCGATTGGTGATCAGGCAGTGAAAGCAAAGGAACGTGGAAATCTGAGACCAAGAAAAAACCTGATTCTCAGATCGGAAAAAACAAAAAAAAGCAAGTGGTTGCGTGAAGGCTCAGACGGACAACAGGGGATCGATGGGGTGACGATGATTCATGAACAACGCAGAAGACTATGTTCTTGTGAGCTGAACAACCACCAAACCAGCCGAAATCTCAGGCTCAGACAGACAACAAGGGATCGATTGGGGTGACGATGATTCATGAACAACGCAGAAGACTATCTGAGCAACAACCAAAACAGCCGAAATCTCAGACAATTGCAAAGATTGCGTAAAAGTCACTCGCACGCATTCACGCACCAAAAACAAAAACAACCCATGCATTGCTTTTGGCGTATGACTCTTTTGCGCAGGTGCAAGTGTTCCTGAGATCGAGATCGTGGGACACGCGCGAGGCAGCGGGATTTGCACTGGACGCGATTGCGAGAAACGTCCCGCTGTGGGATCCTGTCAAGGCAGCGCAGGCTATCGCGCAACAAGCACCAACAGCAACGCACGCAACCGCTACTGAGCAGTCGCAAGGAGGTGCGTTGGGTGGAGCATGCCAAAATCGCTTGTTGTACTTGCTTTCAGGTCGACCAACCCTTGCTTTTTTTCATGCGCTTCATCCTCGAACGACCATCACAGATCTAGAAGAGGCAACAGCAGAAACCCCAACTCCGATGGACACGTTCGAAGCCGACGACTCGAAGCTCTCGTTTGTCACGTTCGACTTGCAGCGCGTCTTGACACGCGGACGAGCCTTGCTTGCGTCTGTTGGATCCGAGTATGACGTTGATTTGTCTGGAATGGATCCTCGTGAACGGTACGCATCAGATATGACGGCCCTTCGATGCCACGAAAGCACCATAGCTTTTTTTTTTTCTTTTTTTTTTTCGATATCCAGAACTTATTTTTTTCGACGTGTACAGACTCATGATGCAACGACGCAACTTGCAAGAGCGACTGGGATTGGGTCGCTCCAACAATGATGGCGATGGTGAGGTGGACGAGCGCCGTGCACGGTTGAATTCTGCGTTGCCGACTGGCGTCGAATCGGTCATTACCGACGAAGACTTGATCGCGCCAGTGCAACGACCCAAACGAAAGCTCGAGGATGGCACCGAAGTGGACGACAGCCTTGGCTCCTCCAGCAATACCACCGAGGTCGAGGAGCTTGTTGGATCGGCAATGAGCGCGAGACAGCGCAACCGGCTCAAACGCCAGTCCAAATCGGCTGTCGCCATCTCAGCGACGACTTTGGATGCAGCAGGCGCTGGCAGCAAGCGGTCTTCTGCCTCCACTCGTGCTGTTGTGACGGATCAGGCCGGCAATGGAGACAAGGTACGTGTCGTGTGTCATTGGAAAAAAAAATCTGCCATTGGACAATTTGCCCTTTCACCACGCCCCCCGCCACCTTTCCGCAATTCCGTCAGTTCTCTCACAGTTGCCTGCACCCATCATTGTATTTTTTCCCTTTTTCCTTGTTGAAAATTGTAGATTGTGCTCGAGGCAATTACAGACGCGCATGCCACACTCGCTTCAGCCGATGAATGGCCATTCGAGCTGCTGTGCGATGATCTGCTGAACAAGCTGTTTGCTCCAGCTTGGGAAATTCGGCATGGCGCTGGTGTTGGTCTGCGAGAGGTGCTCAAAACGCATGGTGGACAAGCCGGAATGAGCGCCCGTGCAACGCCTGAAATCAACGAGCGGTTGCGCAATCAGTGGCTGGAAGACGCCGCCATCCGCCTGATTTGCGTGTTTGCGCTCGATCGTTTTGGCGACTTTGTTTCCGACCAGGTTGTGGCACCCGTGCGCGAAACGTGTGCCCAGACCCTCGGCGCCATTCTCAAGTTTGCCAGCCCTGCCACCGTAGCCAGCGTTGTCGACTCGGTGCTGGTGCTTGCCCAACAACCGCAGTGGGAGACACGCCACAGTGCGCTCGTTAGCCTCAAGTATGCGATTGCCGTTCGCCACGACATGGCCGAGCAGCTTTTGCCCCGATTTCTTCCTGCCGTGCTCGCCGGTCTGCAGGATCTGGACGACGATGTGCGTGCCGTGGCCGCCAATTCGCTCTTGCCCATTTGCGAAAGTGTCATCAACTATTCGGATGAAAACGATGCCGGCGCCACGATTGCCCGAGTGCTGTCATTGCTGTGGGAATCGCTGCTGGATTTGGACGACCTGTCCGCGTCCACCTCCAGCGTGATCAACCTGCTTGCCGAGCTGCTGGGCCATAGTGGCGTGTGCCTTCGCGTTGCTTCCGGCGCCTTGGTCGTCGATGGCCGCCCGCAGCCCCCTCTGCACGTGTTGGTGCCTCGCCTGTGGCCATTCTTGCATCATGCCATGTTGAGCGTCCGCCGTGCCACGTTGCGCGCGCTCGAAGGCCTCGTTGAGGTCTCCATCCAACTTCACAATGACCAGCATCACGATTTGGCACAGTTCAAGAATCAAGAATGGGCAGAAGACACGTCCGATGATGAACAGGACGCCCCGCCAGACAACGGCAGCGGCGCAACACCGATGGACTTGGACGTCAAGCCTTCCCAGTCAAGGCTGGCCATGTGCGTTGCGGGAGCCTCGCCTGCGTGGTGGATTATTCGACGCCATCGCCGAACGTTGCGGCACCTCATTCAGCAGCTGCTACTGGAAAAGGAGGCTACCTTGTTGAAGGATACGCTTCGCGTCTGGCATCGGCTGGTGCGGTTTGCCTTGCCCATCGTTGTCTCCGCCACCCGCTCGCTTCAAAAGCTTGAGGCTCTGGTGTTGAGCTGGATGACCCTTGCGATCACTCCCCAAGGGATTGCGCTCAATTACCAGGACTTGCTCCTTCCATCGATTGCGCAGCTCCAAGCGCAGCAACAACGGCAGCAGCAGCGACAATCCGTCAAAATGCAATCATTCGAGTCTCAAGCGAATCTTCCACCACCACCACCACCGCTCGCATCACCGCCACCACCAGGGCCTGTGGTGAAGCGGCCACGAAAAGCTACGGCTGCTCGCGCACCAGCACCCGCCGAGCCTCCTTCCGCTTCCAGTGCCAGCATTGTGGCCTCGTACTATGGCCAGCTCCTGATTGGTAACATTTCAGACCGCTCGATTTTCGACTTTGCCGAGGTGCAGCGCTGTCGACTGGCCGCGTTCGAGGCAATTGCTGCCGTTTGCAGGCACTGGCCTTCCACCGCGCTCGCGGGCATCGAGTCCACCTTGCGGGGTCTGCTCAGTTCCACCTCGTTTGCTCGACGCGTGGCTGCTGGCGCCATTCTGGCGGAATGGGCGACCTTCGACACCCTGGACGTGCCAAGCTCAGTGGTCACGACGCCGCCCGCCACGTTGCGCCCAGTGCTTACACAAATGCTAGAAGAAGCCGGCAATACCACGTCCTACGTCGAGCTCACTGCATTCATCGAGGACATGCGGACAGAGTGTGGAGCGCTGCTCGGCACGTTTGCCGAACGCGGGCTTCCCAAAGAGTCGCTCTCCAGCGCTGGTGATTGTCGCATGTACGCTCCGTTGCACGCCAACGAGCTGGCAACCACGTTTTTTCAAGCGTGGACTGTCCATCTGGATGCCTTCGACACGACAGTCATCCAGCACCACCAGGCGCAAATCTCGCAGCTGGCGGCGCAAGTGCTCACCCCGATGGCTGCCCAGCAACTGCGGCAACTGGAGTCGCAGCTGCGCTTCAAACAGCAGCAAATTCAACGACTTGTTGATCAGTGCATCAGCAAACGCTCGCGCATTCAGTCCGCCGTTGCCGCGCTCGAGTTCAACCACGAGCGCATGCACATCAAGGTGCTGTCCGCGCTCGCGTTTGCCTTGATCGCAATGGACCCTCGGCCAGACAAGCTCAATCCCATCGTTCGCCCGCTCATGGATGCTGTTCGCAAGGAGCAAGATGAGCCACTGCATTGGCGGGCTGCGCGCGGACTTGCCGTCTTGGTTGATCGCTGTGTCGACCGCACTCCCTCTCCGAACGACAAGATTGTTCGTGCCGTGGCCGGCATGCTCGCTGCAGACGCGGCGCACACGCCGCAGCTGCCCACTGAGGGCAATCCCAAGCAAATTCTCGACGACTGGGAGCTGGGGATTGTCACTGCGCGGCACCAACGAGAGGCAGACCTGGCAGATGCGACGGCGGGCGGTAGAGGCTCGTCAACAGCAGTGTCAAAAGCCGGCGACGACGATGTGGCCGCCGCACAGGCCATTGCTATTAGCTCTGGTGCAGCAACAAGCAGCTCGGGAGCCGACATTTCAGCTGCGATCGCACGCGACGGTGCAGAACTCGTCCTTCGCGCAGCATCCGAGCGGTTTCAAAACAGCATTTTCAGCATGCTTCCTCGCTTGTGGGGGCTGCTGTCCGAGCCAATGATTGAGCTGTTTGGGCCGCTGGACTCGCCCAACTTGCTATTGGCCTCTGCGACCTTTGATCTCGCTTGGAGCGACGCCTCTCGTGCCTTGATGGATGGGTCTGCAAAAGCACTCGAACGGACTCGCGAAGTACTGCTCTCGCTGCAACTGCTGGAATGCCTGTCGACGTGCTTGCCACAGGGCGCCGCTCTGGACCAGATTTGGACACAACTGACTGGTCCCACGCTGTCTTGTCTGGCCTATCCGAATCGTGCCGTACGCCATCTCGCAGCACGGACAGTGGCTGCTTTGTGTTGCCGCTTCCCTGTTGCTGCCGTACAAGCGGTAATTTTCCACGTTCTGCCCCTGCTCCAAGACTCCACACAAATCACGCGCAGGCAAGGCGCGGCTGAAGCACTCTTCCATGCCATCGATCGTCTCGGAACCGACATTGTTCCCTTCTCGGTGCTGTTGATTGTGCCTCTGCTGGGATCGATGAGCGATTTCGACCCAGACGTCCGCCAGCTGGGTACATTGACCTTTGCTGCGCTTCTCAAGCTGCTCCCGTTGGAGCCCGGCACCCCGTCGCCTGCTGGCATGCATCCCGCACTCTCGGCTCGCCGCACACGAGATCGCCACTTCCTCGAGCAGCTCATGGACCCAAGCAAGTTGGACAGCTACCCCGTCCCCGTTACCATCAAGGCAGAGTTGCGCAAGTATCAGCAGGACGGCGTAAACTGGCTGCACTTTCTCAACCGCTATCGGCTTCATGGCATCCTTTGCGACGATATGGGCTTGGGCAAGACACTGCAGTCGATCTGCATCCTCAGTGGTGATCATTTCGACCGCAAGCAACGTCGTGCCGCGGCCGCAAAGAGTGGCGGTCAAGCACAGGCCGACAATTTTGTACCTGCGCTTGCAACCAGTTTTAGCGATGGCACGGACAGCGCAGACGCGACGTTTGCCAGGTTTGAGCGCGCGTTGGAATCCGACCACTCGCATCTGCCATCGCTGGTGGTCTGCCCTTCGACACTGATTGGGCACTGGTTTTATGAGATTCGCAAGTTTGTGGATGACTCCATCCTTCAGCCGCTCATGTACAATGGGACTCGGCAGGAGCGGCTTGAGCAGCAGCGGCAGTGCGCACGTGCCGACGTTGTGATTGCGTCCTACGAAATTGTTCGCAACGACAGCGACTTTTTCCAGCAGCAGCAGTTCAACTATGTCATTCTCGACGAGGGTCACATTATCAAAAATCCCAAATCGAAAATCACTCAGGCCGTCAAGGGCATTCCCAGCAACCACCGCTTGATCTTGAGCGGCACGCCGATTCAGAACAATGTGCTCGAGTTGTGGTCCCTGTTTGACTTTTTGATGCCGGGCTTCCTGGGCACCGAGAAGCGATTTGCGGACGTGTACAGCAAGCCCATTCTTGCAAGTCGAGGTGCACGAAGCTCGTCGCGCGAGCAAGAAGCCGGTACGCTCGCTCTTGAAGGCCTCCATCGCCAAGTCCTTCCCTTTATTCTGCGTCGAATGAAGGAGGATGTGCTGCACGACCTCCCACCGAAAATCATCCAAGACCTGTATTGCGATCTGAGTCCGCTGCAGGTTCGCTTGTTTGAGCACTTTTCTCAGTCCCAGGGCGGTGAATTGCAACAAGCCGTCTTACGGGCTGACGAACAGGCTACGACAGCCATGGATGTTGATGATGATGATAATCATGATAACGGCCATGAGGGTCCTGCCAAAGCCAAGGGCAACAGCAAGGCCAACGCCAGCGGAGGCGCAAAGCACATCTTTGAGGCTCTCCAGTTCTTGCGGCAGCTGTGCAACCATCCAAGTCTTGTGCTGCAACCCAAGCACCCATTGTACAATTCAATCCGCGCAGAACTTCCCCAAGGCACATCCATCTCTGACTACCAGCAGTCTCCAAAACTTGAGGCGCTGCGCCAGCTGCTTTTGGACTGCGGCATTGGCGCCTCTGCTGCTGGCAGCGCTGCTGCGGCTTCTGCGACGAGCACTGGGCGTCAAACTGCCGCGGCTGCATCCAATGCCGCGGAGGCCAGCGTGCTTGAAGGCGCAGTGTCACAGCATCGTGCCCTCGTCTTTTGTCAGACCAAAGGCATGCTGGATTTGATTACAAAGCAGCTTCTCGATGCTCACATGCCGACAGTATCCTACTTGCGTCTCGATGGCTCCATTCCGCCGCTGGAGCGGTTTGCCATTGTCACCAAGTTCAACGAGGATCCCTCCATCGACCTCTTGCTGCTCACCACGCATGTGGGTGGTCTCGGCTTGAATCTGACGGGTGCGGACACGGTCATTTTTATCGATCACGATTGGAACCCGTCGCGCGACTTGCAAGCAATGGACCGTGCACACCGCATTGGTCAGCGCAAGGTCGTGAACGTGTATCGCCTGATTACGCGTGGCACACTCGAGGAGAAGATCATGAGTCTGCAGCAGTTCAAGCTGAACATTGCCAATACCGTCATCACGCAAGAGAACTCGAGCCTGCGTTCGATGGACACTGGCCAGTTGCTCGACTTGTTCACCTTGCCCGCGAGTGCAGGAGCCAGTACGAGCGGTTTGAATCCGGCATCCGCAGCGGGCAAGAGCGCCGCAGCCAGTGCTGGAGTCGGTGGCGCTGCAAGCGCTGTGATTGAGTCTCTGGGCGAGCTGTGGGACGATCAGCAGTACGCCAGCGAGTACAATGTGAACGATTTTCTCGTCTCGCTGGAGGGCGGTTCACGACCGGCGAGCAAGCGGAAAACGGCCAGCTCTCGCAAGTGATCGGGTGGCGCGTTGTTTTGTTTTTGCGTTGTACCTGTACTATCGTCTTCATTGTGATTCAATTTGTTTTTCTATTCTTGCCAGCCAATGCAAGCGCGTACATCGTGAAGAATGAGGCGTTTTGTAGAATGGATGCCTTGTCAGGCCTTTTTTTTTCTCTCTCTCTCTCTTTTGATCGTTTGGCAGGTTTTGATCGCAAATCCAAACCACTCTTTGATTTTTCCCGACTTTCTCCCTGTGTTTACTTTTCTTTTCGAACCACGCCAAAGTTGCTGTTCTGAATTTTGCGCTCTTTTCCGCAACGCTTGGTTTAATTTCCGCACCTTCACAATGCAAAATTCCGCACTCGCAGGGAAGTCCGCGCTCGTCATTGGCGGCACGAATGGCATTGGTCGTGGCATGGCCGAGTGGCTGGCACAACAGGGCGCCTCGGTGACGGTCGCCGGGCGTAGCGCCGAGCGTGGGCTCGTCCTCGTCGCCAAGCACCACGAGTCCTACACCTAGTCATTCTGCTTTTACCGCAGCTACTTCAGCTGGCTCGAGTGCTCCGACGTACGCGTTTTCTCCAATCAATGCACAGTCTGTTGCGGACGTGGGCAAGTTCTGCGCAGAATATCTCAGAACGCACGACCGACTCGACTACCTGGTGGTGACTGCGGGCATTGCGACCATGCAAGGACGTACCGAGACCGACGAAGGCATCGACCAGAAGCTGGCCATTCACTACTATGGCCGCGTTGCTGCCATCCAGGGTCTGTTGCCGCTGCTCGAAAGCACCGCCAAGCTGCCAAACGCCGACGTGCGCGTTCTCTCAGTGCTCTCAGCGGGCGTGCACTCGGCGTATGCCAATTACCGCACCGATCCGGAAGTCCGCACGTACTCTCTCCAGCGCGCTGCCAATGCTGCTGGATTTTACAACGACCTGGCGTTGGACGCGTTGTCACGCGAGCACCCGACGGTGACGTTCGCGCATGCAGCACCGGGCCTTGTCTCGACCTCCTTGGGCGCCGAGCTCAACCCATTTCTGCGGGGTGTTGTCCGAGCGATGCAACTGTTTGCCAAGAGCCCAGAACGGTGCGCCCGGCTAATTGGTGCCGCGCTCATCGCGCCAGAGTTCAAAGGCGGCTTCCACCTCGTCAACCCGAACGGCAAGCCCGCCAAGCGGACTCCTCAGCACGACGAAGCCCGTGACTTTGTTTGGCAGAACACCAAGGAGGTTCTTGCCAGAGCGTCAGCTACTGGTGCTGCTGCGAATGCCGCCAAGGGCAAGGAGTAAAAGTTGTCGTTCAAGCTGACTGCGCGAGAAACGAAGAAGGCTGTCGTTTGACATTTCCTGCCTTGGCCCGATGCTTGCACTTTGTGCGCATGCTTGTACTTTGATTGTGGGGTTTTGTGATAGTGACTGCACGTTCGTGTCGTCAAACAGAGCGGTTCCATTTATTGAACAAAGTTGATCAAATTGCCTCGTGGAGCAACAAAGCTCTCGCTGCCTGTGAGCTTGGCGTTGGCCAGCAACTTTTGCACCTGCGCATCAGCCAAAACTGCACTTTTGAGGGCCGAGTGATCTTCGACGAGACGCGCTGGGAGCTTGAGTGTCAGGCGAACCTTGCCGCGAATCTGCAAGATCAAAACGAATGTGAAAAGTGCCGGCTGAAAACAACAGCAACAACACAAGCAACAACTCTCGCACTTACCTGAACGACAAGAGACATGGTTTTGGGCTTGAGCTGCATGTCGTTGGCAACCGGCCAGCCAGCGGAAAACACATCGCGAGCGGTCTCGGGGGAAGCGGCGGATTGCTGAGTGTGCGACAAGCGCTCGAACAGCTCGCTCGCCACGACGGGAGCGATTGGGGCCATGAGCTGGACAACAGTTGTGACGGCATGCGTGTACTGGGGTTGTGTGTGCAGGCGAGCGGGAACGTCCTTGATTGTGTTGGACAGCTTCATCAAGTCGGATACAGCAGTATTGAAGGCAAACGTGTGCTCAAAGGAATTTGTGATCTGTGCAAGTGGGCACGGCAAGCGAGAAGTGAGAGCACGATAAGCAACACAAAGCTCTTTTTGTCGGCTCTCGCCAGTCTCAAAGGCTTACGCTTTTAATCGTCGCGTTGGTCGTAAACACGAGTTGATCCAACACCTCTGAGTCAGCATCCGAAACGGACGACGGTGTGCCTTCACGGGGAACTTGTCGGACGGTTTCAACCAACTCAATCACTCGGTTGACCCAACGCCGCGAGCCCTGCATCGATGGTTACAGCATCATAGTCAGTTGGTCATCCTCACGCGACAGCATCTCCACATCAAACAACAAAAAATAAGTCCATTTACAGCAATTGCGTTCTCATCCCACTCCAAGGCCATTTCTGGCGGCGCTTTGAACAAGGTAAAGATGCGCAAAACATCGGCGCCGTATCGGTCAATCATGGTCTGTGCAAAAACAAAAAACAAGCCGCAGGATAAGGATGCAACGTTCCAAACAAAATGCAGTTTCTACCTCGGATGAATAGTTTCCAAGCCAACCTACCTGTGGATCAACGCCATTGTACTTGGACTTTGACATTTTCTCGTACACAACCTTTGGAGCGACGCCAGTTTGAAGCTCAAGCTTTTGCTCTAAAATGCAAAAAAGGCGATCCGATTGTTGTGAGTGCGAACATCATGGAATGCGCTCGTTAGCAGGACGCATACGCACCTGAATCCAGCTCCGTTGGGAGCAGGTACTTGCCGCTAACTGCCGACTTGAAGGTTTTGCCTTGAACCATCCCCTGCCCACGCGCCAAACAGACACAAAACACACAGTCGGCTCAAAAAGTTTCCGTCTCCATGTTGAAAAGTCCCCGCAGCGCGTCATACCTGTGTTAGAAGACGCTGGAACGGCTCGGACGCTTCCTTTTTCAGCAAGCCTTCTTTCACAAAGAATCGCGTCAAGAACCGCGCATACAACAAATGCAGGATGGCATGCTCCACGCCGCCCACGTAAATGTCGGTGGGCATGGCTTTATTTGCGGCTTCCGTGTCAAATGGTCTGTGAGTGTGGGTGGGTGTTTGTATGTGTGAGGGGGGGGGAAGCGGCGAATAGTCAGAAATCCAAGTCGCTGTCCAATCCAAAAAACCAGAAGTCGTCCTGAAACGAATCGACTTACGCAGTGGTATTGTGTGGATCGGTGAATCGTGCAAAGTACCAGGACGAATCAACAAACGTGTCCATTGTGTCCGCGTCTCGAGTAGCTGGGCCGCCACATCTGGAAGCAAATTGACCAAAATGAAACGAAACGTTCGCACCACATTCGATTGCGCACAGAGAGCACGGTGTGTCTTACGACGGGCAATTCACATGCATCCACGACGCCACAGTTTTGAGGGGAGAACCACCCCGCCCACTGAACTTGGCATCGGTTGGAAGCACAACAGGCAAGTCGTGTTCAGGCACAGGAACCACCTGCATGATTCGCAGAGAAAAATGTGTGACTTGGAAGCGCTATCATCGAATCACCTTCCAACATGTCAAAGAACCGAAACAAAAAAAAGAGTCCTGACCTCGCATTTGGGACAATGAATCACGGGAATGGGCGCTCCCCAGTAGCGTTGCCGCGAGACCAGCCAGTCGCGCAAGCGAAACTCGGTTCGGATGGACCCAGATCCGGTCGTTTCTGCCTTTGCCACGATCGCTGCTGCGGCTTCTTTGGCTGGTAGACCAGTAAACTCGCCGCTGTTTTCAAGAGTGCCTGTTTCGGCAATGATGACCGGGATGGTGGGCAGCGACATGGCGCTTGCGAACGTAGCATCGCGTTCGTCGTGCGCAGGAACACCCATCACGGCGCCAGTGCCATAGTCGCTCAGCACATAGGAGCCGTAGTACACGGGGATGGGTTTGCCGGTGATTGGATGCAGGACGTTCAGCTTGAGATCCAAACCTAGTTTCAAAAAAGATTGGCGTGTTGAGCGACTTGCAGCCAAAATCACGACACAAGACAACGAAAATGTATCCTACCTTGAGTATTAGCAGCTAGAGTCACGCCCAGCTCTGTCAATCTGCAAGGCAATCCAGGATTGTGAACTAAATAGAAACGCGTGGTTGGAGCATTACTATCCTCTGATTGTTTTCATACCGCTGCTGGGTCACAGGATGATCTGCTGCAAGTGCTACAAAGGTGACACCAAAGAGTGTGTCGGGGCGGGTGGTGAAAACCTGCAGCGGGGCCTGTTCGCTTGACGCAAATCGAAAGGTGAAGGATGCGCCAGTCGACTTGCCAATCCAGTTGCGCTGCATCTGTTTCACAGACTCGGGCCAAGCCAACTGATCAAGTCCTTCCAAGAGTTCCTGTGATGTGCCATCAAAGTGGGGAGAGGAAGGTGGGGAGGGGGGGTCAGCAAGCTGTAGAATCCAACAACTCGAATGCAGCTGTCGATCAAGAGGGGGAACCGCACATTGGAAAAGGCCGAAATCTTGAAAAACCACTGATTGAGAAGCTTTTGCTCGACCACAGCCCCTGACCGCCATGAGCGGCCATTTTCGTCAACCTGCTCGTTGGCAAGCACGGTCTGGTCGACGGGGTCCCAGTTCACCACCGCGTTCTTTCGATACGCCAATCCGGCTTTCAGCAACCTCAGAAAAATCCATTGCGTCCATCGGTAGTAGTCTGGAGCGCATGTCGTGACCTCCTAATGGACATTCCGTCCAAAAAGAAAAAAAAAAAGAAACACACACAACAATCAGGGCGCGAATCGCAGAGAGCTGAAGCAACCGGGGGGGGGGGGGTGTCAGAAACCAACCTTGCTCCAGTCGAACGCCATGCCCAGACGTTGCAGCTGTTTGCGCATGTACTCAATGTTCTTGATGGTCCACTCGCCAGGCGCGACACCGCGCTCGATGGCTGCGTTTTCCGCTGGCAATCCAAAGGCGTCCCAGCCCATGGGGTGGAGGACCTGCGAGCACGCCAGGAGTGAGAATGAGCGTCTGTGTCACTGCGTTCGTTCTCAGACATGCGAGCTTTCTCAGATCAGTCAGTCAGTCGGCTTACCTGCCTGCCGTTCATGGCATGAAACCGCGCGAGACAGTCGCTCAGCGTGTATACTCGCACATGGCCCATGTGCAAGTGTCCTGACGGGTACGGGAACATTGCCAGAATGTACCGCTTGTTGCTGTCGGCTGAGCTGGACGCGGCGGTCAATCCGGACGACTCGTGCGCCGGTCGTGACGATTCTTGCAGTGGCAATCCCGACCCATGCGACGTCTTCGTTGTCGTCGTACTGGATTGACTGAGCGCTGAGCCTGAGCCTGAGCCTGTGTTGCTGGGCAGAGCGTTCGGCTGAGCAGCCCATCGCGCGTGCCACTTTGCCTCCCACTCGAGCAGCTGCCCGCTCGTGTGATGAGCGCCACTAGTGCCAGTGCCAGTGCCAATACTCGTGCTAGTGCTGCCACTGCTCGGATCCAGTCCGGTGCTGGTCGAAGAGTACTCGCGTGTTGCGGCAGTCTTGGCAATGGAGCGGCCATGCATTGCGCTCAGTGCCAGCCACCGCCCGAACTGCTGCTGCTGCTGCTGGTGGATGTGGCTGTGGCTGTGGCTCGACTGGTGCGACGCGCGAGTCGAATGCAGATGAGCGGTGGAAAGTGACCGCGCTGCTGTCGCTGTCGCGCATGTGCTCAAGCTCCAGCCACTCGTCCGACAGCCACCCCTCAGACCCAGAGCACGTCCCACGGTGCTCATGCTAGTAATGCTGCTGGTTGCGGAACTCGTGCAACAGCGCAGCATTTTGTTGTAATGGTGAGAAATCTCTGCGAAAAATCGCGGAATGAAAATCTCAGAACAATCCCAAAGATGGAAACAAGACTGAGCGCAATGTGCAATGTGTGTGCTTTTGTGCTGTTGTGCAGTCACTATATCGAGACCCCGTTTTTGTCGCTTGGCATCATGTCATCCGGCAAGAAATCGCGTCAATAACATCGCCAAAGCTAAAGGAAGCGCAACGTTTCTCTGAGCTGCAATCGACACTTTGTCTGAGAGTTAATGAATATACTGGCACACAAAACCAAGCAACAACCAAAAAAAAACACCAGTTCGGCTACAACGAAAAAAAAAACAAAAACAAATGCTATGGACAAACCAGTAGCCTGAACACACAAAAAAAATGACCACACCCGCATGGGAAGAAGTTAGCGTGCGCTTGGAGGCCGTCGACCGGCGCCAACCATGCTCAAACGCTTGTTAAATTCCTCGTCCTTGGCATCCTGATCGGTTTGCGCAAAAAAGTTTTGCACAATATCGCAGTTGGAGATGTGCGGTCGCATACTCAACATGCCCTGCATCATCAGAAGGAAATCATTCACATTCACATTGGATTCAAAAACGTTAGCAGTGGGTTCTGGATGCAAAGCCGAACAACCAAGCAACCAAGCAAAAAAAAAAAATCAAAAAAATTCAAGCGCCTACCTCGAGATACGCATTGATATCGCGCATCCGAACCTTGGCCACATCGCGCACGTGGCTGCGTCGGAATAGAATTTTGGGCGGGAAGCTGGGGAAGCTCTCCGTGGGGAAACGGGTTTCCAACTCGCGCTCCAGTCGCAAAAATTGGCTGTAGCGGCGATACACGACGAATCGCGCCGTCCCTCGCTCGACAGTCAGCTCGTACACCTATTGTTCATTTTGTTTTGTTGTTTTGGAAACGAGAAAAGTTGAGTTCAATAAGCCAGGAACACTCCAACCCGAAGCAAAATAAAGCGAGCAGCAAAAAACGCCGTACATAGTACTTTTCAGGATCGTGTCGCTTTTCAAAGTTGGAAATCCAGGCTCGGAGCGCGCCGCCATAAAAGTCGGACACGATTCTGAATCACAGCCAGACAGAACAAAGAATGAGAGTACAGTCCCAAAGAATTTCCTTTTCAGCACGGAGGCAAGAAACACGCTTCAAAATTTCCACCATACCTGTCACTCTGCTTGTTCAGCTCTTGAACAACACGCTCGACATATTTCTTGCCAAACTCACTCTTGAGGAAGCGCGGGAGAACCGAGGCCTCGATTTCGCCGTACACCCACCGTTGTGCATCGTCAAACATGGGCAACTCGGGCGCAGACATGCGCGCTTGAATCAGGGCCTTGATTGGCTCGGGGAACTGGACAAACAGCTCGGCGCCACTCATAATGTACTTGTGGTCGATCGACTTTGCGTAGAGCATGACATCGTCGAGATCGCCGTCAAAGTTTCGGAATTGCTCGACATCCAGCCAAAAGAAGAGGTTCTCGATGCAATACTCTGCGGCACAGTGCTTGATCAGCATGTCAATGCCAAAATCGTTGTGCAAGACTTGGTCGAGGTGGCAAGGACCGAGCGATGACGACGAGGCCGGAGGTTGGGCGGCAGTCATGGACGCCATGACAGCCGCTGGCAAGACATTTTGGGCGAGTGGATGTGTTTTCGATCTGGAACGCTCCTCGGCGACGAAGCGAAGGTCGTCGTTGCTGTCTTCATCCGTATTTCGATCGAGAGCTGCTCCAACCTCGGCGTACTGAGGCTCCGAGTTGCTCACAACATGCGCAGAGCTTGGTCGGGGAATGTAAGGGTTGTCCCTATCGTCGTTGTTGCTGTTGTTGCGGTTGCTGTGGTTGTTGGCGTGGCTGCTGTGCGCAGTGGGCGATGGCGGTACTTCAATCGTGGTTTGCATGCTGGGACTCCAGCGACGCTCAAACACGGCTTGGATGCAGTTGGGACAGCACGCTCCGCGCTGACGGCGGTAGAACTTGCTGAGGTTTGTGATGGGCTGGTTGCATTCGACGCACCGGAAGCAGTCGCGATGGTAGTTTTCACCAAAGGCACTCACATGATCTTTGACGATGGTGCGCGAGCAGGTGCGGCAGGAAGGGGAGCATGCGTTGCAGAGACACGCGTTATTAAGGATGAGAAATTCTGGCGAGGTGATTGGACGCGCGCATTTGCCACAGAGGAAGCAGTCCTGGTGATAGAGGCGGCCTTGGTACTGAAGCAACTTGCTGCCGGCGGTGAACGGCTTGGTGCACTTGGCGCAAACCACGGCGGTTGCAACTCCGTTGGTCGCACCAGTAGTCGGCGTGATGGGGGTGGCAGCAGCAGCAGCAGCAGCAGCAGCAGCAGCAGCAGCAGGCGGTGGCGACGCGTGACCTCCGAGCCCGCGCAGGTTGGGCGGCGGTAGCGGCGGGTGACTGGCTTGGGGGGTCGCAGCCACGGGAGAGGCCACGCGTGCAGGAGTTTGACTGCTTGCGAGTCGCTTGGCGTGACCAACAAGTTCCTTGCAGTGCTTGGCAAGCTGAATGAGGCACTCCACCAAAGAGGGCATGAATCGCTGTGTGCGCTCCGTCACGTCGTCCGTCGTCGCGCCACCGTTGGTGGGATCGCCGCCACCGTTCGCGCTCGCTGTTGCTCCTCCCAGCAAGGTCTTGAGCAGCGCCAGGAACTGCGACGCCGCGCTGTTGATTGCATCGCGCGAGATTCGGATTTCTGAAAATTAACACACGTCAAACAACAAAACAAAAACAAAAACACCAAAACAAAGAGTGAGTCAATCAGCAAATCCGATCGATTCAGAAGATCATGTCTGTCTGTCTGTCTGAGAAAGCACAAACCACATGATTCTCTCGAGACTGCAAGCAGCAGCATTGCTCAATGCGACATGACATGAACAATGAACAAGACATGCAAACAACCAACCCAAGAGTCGCACACCAGAGGAGGATGACCCCCTTTTGACTTTTGACTGGTGAGAATGCAAAGTTGAATGCAAAGTTGAATGCATTGGGAATGCGCAATGCAACTCCAGCCAAAATCTACATCTCTCTCTCCCTCTCCTGGTGCCTCTCTGCCTCCCTCCACTAGTTACTAGCTCACTGGAGAAACCCCCGCCCCGCCCTCTCCCCATTTGAAGCATTTGAAGAGGACCGCGCAGCCACGAATAAATATTGCCCAAAAGCCAAAAGCCAAAAAAAAAAAAAAAAAAAAAAAAAAAAGCCACGAAAAGTGAAGAAAATGGTACAGTGATCGGTGAAGAACAGTAGACAAAACAAAATAAAAAATAAAAACTCGACAACCCGAGACGACTAAACTCGCTCGCTAACCGACCTGCGACTTCCTGGTCTGGGACTGCGTGCTCGAGGGCGGTGACTGCCTGGACCAAGCCCTGGAACGCGGTGACGAGCTGCTTTGACGTCTGCACGACGGGCAGCTGGCGGACGACCGGGCGCGCGTTGCAGGCGGCGAGGAAGGCCGAGATGGCCCCTGCGACGGCGGATTCGTGCGCAACGAGCTGAGCGACAAAGCCCTCCATCTACTCTGGAGTCGAGTCAACGTGTGAGTGTGATGAGTAGTGTGATGAGTATGATGAGTGTGTGATGAGTGTGTGATGAGTTGTCTGGTTGTCGCTGGTGTTTGACTTTGACGATTTGGAAAAAAAAAAAAAAAAAAAGAGTGACAAACAAGGAAAGCAAACTTATAAAAAAAAAAAATAAAAAAAAAAAGATACAGCAAGTAGATTAACAAAGGAGGTTTACAGAAAACACAGACACACAGAGAGACACACACAGACACACAGACAGAGGGACTCGGAACTTCAAAGCGATGCTGACGAGATTGAGAAAAAACCGATTGAGAAAAGGGCACACAATCTGGATTCTGCAAGCACGAGATGATCCTCGAAAAGTAAGATCGGAGCACAGGGGTTGCTCTTAGGGCAATTGCTCCATTGCAGGTGCAGCGTTCGCCGACTCGTCAGGCGATGGAACACGCTGCGGGTAAAGACCACCAATGAAATCCCTGTTGCGTCGACGCAGTTCAAGAGTTGGTCGGCTTTGATTCATGCAAAAAAAAAAAAAAAAAACAATCCAACAACAACCAAAATGCCGAGCACGCTTACTTCAATGTGCCAATCGCGTGACTCGCAGCAGTTCCAGCGCGCGTCAAGAAGTTGGGATTGCTCAAACTGTTGCTGTCAGTTTCATTGTCAGATTGAATCGAGAGCTTGGACTTTCTTCTTTTAGAGATCAATCTTTACTGCGTGTCAGCTGGCGTCTTGTTCGTTTTGAGGGCCATTGCAATCTCCAGCGCCTTTGCATCGCCAATCTGGTTGCCCTCCAAACTGTCGATTCCGTTTCATCAATGAGCACTCCCGTTGCCCTCTGTTGGATCACCCGCATGCCTTACTAGAGCATCTTCACTGTCTTGTTCACTCTGAGCGCCTCAACAATCGCTTGTGCTCCAACATCGCCAATCTGATTCCCATCCAGACTGACCATCCCCTTCATCGGTGAGCACTTCTGAATCACCCACTCACATACATCAGTCAAAGTGAGATGCCATACCCGAGCTCGGCGACCGTCGTGTTCACTTTGAGTGCCTGTGCAATTGCCTCTGCTCCAGCGTCGCCAAGTTGATTCTCGTACAAACTGCCCATTCATCAGTGAGCATTCATACCGCTCTGCTGGATTACCCCCCCCTCACGTGCATCAGTCAAGGTGAGAGTCCTTACCCGAGCTCGGTTACCGTCTTGTTGACTTTGAGGGCCTCTGCAATCGCCTGCGCTCCAACATCGCCAATCCTGTTTTGGTGCAAACTATCCGTTCCCTCCAGCGGTGAGCGTTTTTGAAAGCGCTCTTGCGGAATGACCCACTCACACCCACCAGTTAAAGTGCAATGCTTTACCCTAGCGCCGTCACCGTCTGGTTTACTTGGAATGCCACAGCAATCGCCTGTGCTCCGGCGTCACCAATCTGGTTTTTGCCCAGACTGTCCGTCCCCTCCATAGTGAGCGCCTTTGAATCCCCCACTCACGCGCATCCGAAGGGAGCTTACCCGAGCTTCTTCACCGTCTTGTTCACTGTGATAGCCTCTGCAATCGCCTCGGCTCCAGCATCGCCAATCTGATTCTCATCAAGGCTGTCCATCCACTTCATCAGCGCACACTCTTATTGCCTTCTGCTGGATCATCCTCTTATGGGAAAGGAAACGACCTACCCGATTGAAATCACAATCTGGTTAACTTTGAGCGCCTCGGCGATCGCCTGCGCTCCTGCAACGTCAATCTGATTCATGCCCAAGCTGTCCGTGTCCTCCGTCAGTGAGCACTCTTAATGCCCCAATCACACACAATGGCCAAACAGACATTTTCCTACCCGACTTCAGTCACCGTCGTGTTGACTTTGAGTGCCGCCGCAATCGCCTGTGCTCCAAGGTCGCCAATCTGATTCTCATTCAGACTGTCCATCCTTCCAATAGTGAGCGCTCTGAATGCTCTTGTGCGGATTTCACCCACTCACAGACTTCTAGTCAAGCGAGAATTGCTTTACCCGAGCAGCATCACCGTCGTGTTCACTTCGAGTGCCGATGCAATTGCGTGCGCTCCAGCTTCGCCAATCTGACTCTGGGGAAGACTGTCCGTTCCCATCCATCGGTGAGCACGCTGAATGACGTCTGAAAAATAGCCCACCCACGTGCGTCAGCCACAACAGAAATGCCTTACTTGAGACAAATCAACTTGGTGTTTGCACTGAGCGCTTCAGCAACCGCCTGCGCACCAGCATCGCCAAACGGATTGCCGCCCAGACTGTCCATCCCCGCTCGGAGTGAGCATTCTTTAAGGTCACTTGCTGGACCACATACTCGCACACATCAGTACAAAATGAAACGACTTACAAAAGGTTAGTCAGCGTCGCGTTCACTTTGAGTGCTTCGGCAATTGCCTGCGCTCCTGCAACGTCAATCTGATTCATGCCCAAGCTGTCCGTGTCCTCCATCAGTGAGCACTCATAATGCCCCAATCACACGCAATGGTCAAACCGACATTTTCCTACCCGACTTCAGTCACCGTCGTGTTGACTTTGAGTGCCGCCGCAATCGCCAGAGCGCCAGCATCGCCAATCTGGTTTTCACTCAGACTGACCCGCGGTGAGCCCTTCTGAAATCACCCACTCGCATCCATCCGTCAAACGTGAGCTTCCTTACCCGAGCATAGCCACAGTCGAGTTCACTTTGAGAGCCTCTGCAATTGCTTGAGCGCCAACTTGGCCAATGTGATTCTTGCTCAAACTGCTCATTTGCCCCCCTTCCATCAGTGAGCCACTCTGGATAACCTCTGCTGAAATCACCCATTCAGATGTATCAGTCAAGATGATATGACTCACTAAATGTTCGTCAGCGTCGTGTTCACTTTGAGTGCTTCAGCGATTGCCTCTGCACCAGCATCGCCAATCTGATTTCGGCCCAGACTGTCCGTCCCCTCCCGTCCGTGAGAATTCGAAAACGCCTTCTTGCTAAATCTAAATCTCCCACCTCATATGCGCATCCGTAGGAAGGTGAGTTCAGGCTTACGCAAGCTTCTTCAGCGCCCTGTTCGCCTTGAGTGCCTCCGCTATTGCTTGAGCTCCAGCAGCGCCAATCTGATTCCCACCCAGGCTGCCCGTTCCATTCAGTGAGCCACTCTTCTGAATCACCCACTTTGATGCATCAGTGGCAGTACGATGCCTTTACTTGATCTCGGTCAGCGTCGTGTTGACTTTGAGTGCCGCGGCGATCGCCTGCGCGTCTGCATCGCCAATCTGCGCGCTGCTCATGCTGTCCTCCATTCTCGTCAGAACTCAAACACGCACACACAACTCGCGTTGACTTGCTTTCCAACAATCTCTTACTTGTGCGATCCACTCGCCTTCCTGACAAAGTCGTACAACTCGCGCTGCCGCAAATACGCGTTGAGCATGCTCCCAGCAGCAGCAGACGACATCGTACAAGAACAAAAACAAACAAAATCGAAACCGGAACAAAAAGGAAGACTGCGCGAGCGTGACGTCCGACGCGACTTTTTCCAGATTTGTGCGTTTGGTTTTGATTTCCCATGCTTTGTACTGTATGCTTGGTGAGCAAAAAAAAAAAAAAAAAAAAAAAAAAAGTGGCGTGAGAGATTTACTAGATCCGAGATGGAGATTTGCGATCGCGACGCACAATCGCTGACAAAAGACAAGAACAGCCAGCCGAACGAGCGAGAACAGCCAAACAACCTGACATCCCTGCATGATCAACAATCACCCACGCCGCGCCTCCGAAACATCGATTGAATGTGCATTCTATAAACGTGCGCAAAAGGCAGCTTGTCGTGAAGAGTGAGGGAGAGGGCTTGGTTCTCGTTCGCAGTAAATCGATTCTCCAATGATTGCTGTGAAACCAATGCACGCCAGCTCCCATCGTCAAGCATCCAACGAAGCAATGAGGCGACCAAAGGATGGGCGATCGTCAGCATCGTCCTCAAGACACTCGAGTGCGAGAGTGACAACCTCGCTGATGCTCTGGCGCTCGGCTTCGGTTGGTTTCAAGGCCGAGTCCAGCATCTCGATGGATTTTTGGTTTTTCACTGCTTTGCGCATGTCTGTTTTCAGTCTGGGACCAGGCTTGGCGGCGGTCACCAACTCGAGCAGAATCATGCCGAATGGGTAGACGTCTGTCTTGGTGGTCATTCTGCCCTCCAATAGGAACTCGGGACACATGTAAACAGCGGTACCTTGAACAGTCTGCGTGCGAAGGTAGCTCTTTTCATCGAGGTGTTGGGCAGCACGAACCAAGCCAAAATCAGACACTTTCGCATTAAGGTATGCGTCTAGCAGAACATTGTCCGTCTTGAGGTCGAGGTGGAACAGAACATGATCAGGGAACGCGGTTTGGACATAGTGCATGCCGCGGGAGACATCGGCAGCAATGCGGTGGCGTTGCGACCAGGTCAGCGGAGGCCTATCATTCTTGAGGCTGAGACGATCGCGAACAGAACCGTTTGGCATGAACTCGTACACCAGGCATCGCTCATCGCCTTGCTCAGCATACGACAGAATGGCAATAATGTTTGCGTGGCGGAATTTCGACAAAGAGTCCAGTTCAGATTTGAACTCGGCAGCGCCCTGCTTGGATTCGGCGGACAGCTTTTTGATGGCAACACGAGTGCCAGGCATAATGGCAGAGTACACGCGACCAAATGCTCCTTCGCCAATCAGTGAATCGGCAGCAAAATTGTTCGTCGCGGTGACAAGAGTTGCGAGAGAAACTGGCGGGATTGGTCCGTCAAAGTTCGATGAGGATCCAACGGGGGGTTCGTTGCGCTCAAATACGTCAATTCGATCAAGAGCTGACTTCAGATCGGAGCGAAGTTGCTGCAGCTCCTGGTCTTTGGTCGCGAGCTCCTGCTTGTTGGCCGCTAGCTCCTGGTCTTTGGCAGCCAGTTTGGAGCGCAATTGCTGAACCTCAGTTGCCGGATTTGCAGCGGCACGAGCTGCAATCTGAGCCAAGTCGGCAGGCGATGGTGCACGCTGGTTGTCAAGGCTCCTTCATAGAAACCCCAGTTTCGCCAAAAAGTGAACGGATTGTTGTTCGGACTTGCTTCATGCGAGTCCAATAAACACACAGAGTCTTACTCCAATTTACAAACGGTATTGCCTGTTTCGTTGAGTGCAGTGATTCCAGTGTTGGTCAGAAAGTTTTTTTTCAGCCTATTGTTGTTGGTCACGTCGTTAGATTGTCGTATGAGTCGAACGATCTTCAGAGTAGATCTCAAAACCATCAATATTTACTCAAGGCTAGTCAGCGTCTTGTTCACTTTGAGCGCTCCAACAATCGCCTGTCCTCCCACATCGGTCATTTGATTGTGCGACAGACTGCCCATCCCCTTCATCGGTGAGTTCTCTTCATACCCTCTGCTGAATTACCCACTTAAACAAGTGAGATGACCTACTAGAGCTTAGTCACCTTCGCGTTCACTTTGAGCGCTTCAGCAATCGCCTGTGCTCCAGCATCTCCGATCTGATTGACATCCAGACTGCTCCATTCCCTCCATCAGTGAGCACTCTAAATGCATCAGTAGCTCTGAGATGCCTTACTAGAGCACGGTCAGCGTCGTGTTCACTTTGAGTGCTTCAGTCATCGCCTGCGCTCCAGCATCTCCTATCTGATTGCCACCCAGACTGCTCCATTCCCTCCATCAGTGAGCACTCTAAATGCATCAGTAGCTCTGAGATGCCTTACGCGAGCTCAGCCAGCGTCGTGTTCACTTTGAGTGTCTCAGCAATCGCCTGTGCTCCAGCATCGCCAATCTGGTTGTTTTGCAGACTGCTCCATTTCCTCCATCAGTGAGCACTCTAAATGCATCAGTAGCTCTGAGATGCCTTACCCGAGCTCAGTCAGCGTCGTGTTCACTTTGAGTGACTCCACAATCGCCTGCGCTCCAGCATCGCCAATCTGGTTGTTTTGCAGACTGCTCCATTCCCGCCATCAGTGAGTCCCTCATATGCATCAGTAGTTCTGAGATGCCTTACAAAAGCATCGACACCGTCGTGTTCACTTTGAGCGCTTCAGCAATCGCCTGCGCTTCAGCGTCGCCAACCTCGCTCTTCTGCAGACTGTCCTCCGCTTCGTTAGCACACGCGATCGCACTGTTGCAATAGATTCGGCTTTTTCTTACTTGAGCACTCCACTCGCCTTCTTGACTTTATCATACAGCTTGCGCTGTTTCTGATTCATACTCTCATACGACATGTTGAAAATCAAAAAAAAAAAAAAAAAAAGGGACTGAGATTTGTGTGGTCCAATCTACATCTTCGGTGAGCAAAGGTGTGTCGAGGGACAAATAGGCATGCACTTGGACTTGTGTCCCTGTTTACAGTGAATCCGCGATCGTGGTTCTGAATCACTATAGTTAAAGTTTGCATGGTTGAAAATGCTGGATTTCAATGAACCTACTGCATTACGAAGCTCACTACACAACTGGTGCTCAAACTGACATCGAAAGAGAAGGAAGTGTGCAAACCGATCACAATGACATGTCGTCAAGGCCTGAAATTGCGCTTGTTTGCGCTCGAGACACGTTTTTTTGCTAGTGCGAGAAGCCAAACTTGCCACCGCTTTGCTGCGCTTGCGAATTAAACTTGCGGAGGCTTTCGTACTGCGATTGGAGATCGTTCATGGCTCGCTGTGATGCTGCGACTTGGGACGTGGACGCGCTGCCCGCGGCGGGCTTGGAGTGTGCTGCGGTAGCTGCCGCCTGCTTTCCCAGACCCATCAGACGCAAAAACTTTTCCTTTTGAGCGCCTCCGGCATCGCCTGAGAAGGTTGTGGTTTCCCACTGGTTTGCCGTAGCAGGCGCACGCAACGCACCGGCCTTGTTGTCGCTGTGCGCTGCTGCCTTGGCCTCGGATTTGTCCTTCTTGTCCTTTTTCTCCTTTTTCTCCTTCTTGTCCTTGTTCTCCTTCTTGTCCTTCTTGTCCTTCTTGTCCTTCTTGTCCTTCTTGTCCTTCTTTTCCTTCTTTTGCTGTTGCTTGCTGGGCTGCTCGTCGTCCGATGACGCTTCATCGCTCGAATCAACGTCCATCGGCTGCGGCTTGTGTCGTGCAACCTCGACCTGTGCACCAGCGGTGGCTTCATCATCGCCAGCATCATCACTGTCATTGTCATCATCAGCATCACTGTCTGAGCTGCTCGATTCACCATCTGCCTTGCGAGCAGCGGTCGATGACGCCTTGATCCTGTCCTTCTTCTTGTCCTTCTTGTCCTTCTTGTCCTTCTTCTCCTTCTTGTCCTTCTTCTCCTTCTTGTCCTTCTTGTCCTTCTTGCCCTTCTTGCCCTTGGCTGATGATGACGATGATGACGCATGGTCCTCGTCGTGATCGTCCGTTCGCGCCTTCTTTGCCTTGTGCTTTGCTCCTTCTCGCTCGTCTCGCTCGTCTCGCTCGTCCTCACTGTCGCTGTCGCTGTCACTATCGCTGTCTCGCGTGTGCTTGCGGCTCAGTCGCTCCTCATCGTGCTTGGTCTTGTGCTTGGCGTTGGTCTGCTCGCTGGCACCAGCATCACCATCACCGCGTGGCGTCGCCGCCTTCTTCGTCTTCCCTTCTTCAGATTCAGCAGCACGCGGACTCGTATGCTTGGCCATTGCTTGTTCTTGTTCTTGTTCTTGTTCTTGTTCTTGTTCTTGTTCTTGTTCTTGTAGTTGATTCAAAGTGTGTGGCCGAGCAACCTGCTGCTCAAAACAAAAAATGAGAACTGCTTTTCTGAGAAACAACGTCATAAGAGAATAAACAAACCAAACGAAACGAGACAGAGCTGCCTCATGCATCGGTTTTGTTCAAATGCAATAGCGTGCTGTGCGACGAGAGCAAAGTAGTACTGTAGGATAGGGTTAGAGGGAAGTTGTGGAAGTCCAGCAGTAAGTAAGCTCAAAGGCAAGGCCAGCCTTCAATCAGGCACAGCGAGGACCTTTCGCTGTCTCTCCCTCTTGATAGATGCATTGAGTCATGCTTCAGTCGTTATTTTCCGTTGTCTGAGCCTTTTTTTGATTCTGAGTTTCTCACTCTTTTACTCTCTCCCCTTCACTCTCATTCTCCCGCTCTTCTTCCACTCTTCTTCCACTCTTCTTCCACTCTGGTTCACACCAGCTCGGACTTTTTCTCTCCTCAATTCTGTCAAAATGCTGCTGCACCGCCCAACTGCTGCCTCTTCTGCAAGTCCGCCGCCGCCGCCGCCGTTGCAGGAGCAGCAGTGCCGACTCGTGCTCGCGGCCGCCTCTCCGCGCTGGGACGCGCTGTGCACGACTGGCGCCGACGTCCAGGCGCTCATCGACATTGCCGAGTCCGTCCAGCCAGCCTCAGCCTCAGCCTCATCCTCAGTCCCAGTCGCAGGACCAGGAGCGGCCGTCGGAGGTTGCGGCGGGGCATTCCAGGCCGCATTCAGCCGGCTCGTCGCTGCGCTCGGTCAGGGCAGTCAGGGCACGAGCATCATCAGGAATACCGCTCACGATGATGACAGCCATGATAGTCAAAGTAATGGCGACGTTGGCTCGGCAGTCCGTCGCAGCGACGAGTCCACCGCGACGACGCTCACGTTGGCCACCGCTGAGCAAGTCGTGCACCTCGCACTCTGCGTAAGACAGGCCACAACCGCCATCGAGCAGGCACTGCAAATCTACAAGTAGGACTTTTGTGCATCACATTCGGAATTTTTGGAATGGACTATTTCCCGGGCGTTTGCTGGCGTTTGGATACACTTTTGGTAACTGACTTGAAACTGACCCCCAACGTACTTGACGTTGTTATTACCTTGTAGGACGGATACAATCATGCTAAGCTTTAACGGCGGCAAGGATTGCATGGTCGTGTTGCACTTGCTCAATGCAGTGCTGCGAACACGGTGCGGACGTCACAACGCCGAAAACAGCAGGCATCTTCCGATTCCGGCAATCTATCTGTCCTTCCCAGATCAATTCCATGAAGTCGAGTCGTTTGTGCGAGAGGCCGCCCAGGAGTACGTCAGGACCGCCTTGTTCGGTTTTTTTGATTGATGCTCTCTGCCTTGTCTCATAACGCTTCCATCTCCACCTCCGCTCTTTTGGCAGCTACTCGATGGACTTGTTCACAATCGACGGCTCGATCAAGGCCGGTCTCACGGAACTCTCAAAGCAACGGCCGCAAGTTCGCGCCATTTTTGCCGGGACGAGGCGAACGGATCCGTTTTCGGGTACAGTTCCTCGCCGTGTTTTTGGGTTTGCTTGTTTGTTCGTTTCTCTTGCCCCCCCCCCTCTTGGCTGGCTCTGTTGGGCTCACTGTCGAACTGTCTTTTCCTTCGACAAATACCTCAGCCTCGCTCGAGACGTGCACACCAACAGACCCGGACTGGCCGCAGTTTATGCGCATCAACCCAATCCTGGATTGGAGCTACGCGGACGTGTGGCTGTTTCTTCGAGCCTTCCGAGTGCCTTACTGCCACCTTTATGATTTGGGGTATGTGCATTCGGGCTTCTGTTTGGTGGATGTGAAATACTCGGCCAACTCATTCTCTGTCCGCTGCTGCTGGCTGTGCTTTTGACAGATACACATCCCTCGGTGGAAGATCAACCACTAGCCCAAATCCAGCGCTTCTTCGTGCCGGAACACAATCTCCGCCGCGCTTCTCGCCCGCATACTTGCTCCAGGATGGAAGCAAGGAGCGCGATGGTCGGCGGCCTTCGCTGCAGCCGCAGTCGCCACAACAATCGTCTCGGCCATCGGCACAGAGCAGTCTGTAGCTGTATTCATTTGTACATTTATTCTTATGCAAAACAAGCAAGGGGAGCAGCAGGAAGACAACCTCGTTGTTCGTGAAACAGCCAACGAGTTGCGAATCTTGTTGAACATTTCAGTCTTGTTGGTGATTGCTTCTCGTTCCAAGCTGCAAATTCCACGTATACAACACCAGTGCTACTGTGAATGGCATGTGTGAACTTGTGCGTGTTTGCTGTTGGCTTGTGATAACGAGGGATGCAATCCTGACCAATGATAACTGTTCTCGTGCAAAAAGCTCACGAATCCGTCGTAACAGTCCGACTCTAATGTGCAAACTTGACTGCTCTCATAACAGTCCGACTTTAATGTGCAAATTTGACTGCGCTCAACCCGAGATCAACCCCCAGACGTGGAGGAAAGAGCGCAATAACCCAACACCCAATGCCACAACGAAAACTTTGTGCGCTCTCGGTTCAACCGGTTCTATTGAGCCAACAGCGCGATTTTCCATCCCCAAAAAGGGTGTGCATGTACATTTCGATGGACGGCTGATCTGACAGAGGATGTTTTCAATCACCATGGACTGATGAGGTTGGCCGTCGCCCATGTCGGATGACCCAGACTCGCTCGAGCTGCAGCCCATAGCGCGCTTCCCTGCACTACTTGCATGTAAGCTTCCTGATGCTGCTTCATCATGATGTGGGAGGAGGAAGCGGGACCGTTGTGCTGTCCGCTGCGATCGCACTCGCCTTCTGCAAACGATCAACCAGCTCGTTTCGAACAAGTTGCGCCAGCGCATCTTGGAAGGCGACGCTTTCAAGAATAGTAGTAACCCAGCCTCGCACTGGTTTTTCCGGATCTGAAACGAGCCGAAACGGACTCGCCGATTCGCTACGACGAAACTCCAGCACGCCAGCTTTTTTGGGACCACCCGTGAACCCAGCGAGGGCAACCAGGACCATCTTGCCAAGGTTGGGTAAGCGGTCGACAGGCACGAGAAAGACGCGATTCTGACTTTGTGAGAGCCACACCTGGTCACGCGCACAGGCTAAACATTGCTGAATCTCAGCGGTAACTTCGCCATGCACGCTTCCTGCATCGGGCATCTTGAGTTGTTGTGCCAACGACACCTTCTTTTTCTGCTTGAGTATGGCAAGTGCTTCCTCGGCGAACTCGCGGGCGGCTGTCGCGGCGGGGTTGGCTTTATCCGGGCGAGTCGCCTTGCCGCCAAACATTTCCCATTGATACCCGTTGGTTTTGGCCGCATTCGTGTTAAAGGACATCCAGATTGAGGCACTGGTTTCGCTCTCGACGTTGACAAAGACGACGAACGCCGCTCGGTGCTCGACCTCTTGCCTTGTCGTTTCCATTGCAAAACCTGTTGACAAAACAAAAGACTGTGTTCATCCGCTCGTTTTTGGAACAATGAAAAAAAAATACATTCAAGAAAGGTTTGACACATACTAAAAGCACGCAAAAAGCCACCATAACAAGTGAATAGAGAAGTAAGAGCGTTGGAAGTGAAAGTGGGAACAAAAACTGGTCTGGCTTTTTGTTTTGGTTTGTTTTTTTTTGTTTTGTTCTTTTGGTTTGTTCTTTTGGTTTGTTTTTGGGTCATCATCGCCGGCCGCCAGACTTGAGATAGCTCGGTGGTTGGGCAGCTGGTGCTGGCTTGGGTCGGATCTCATCGGGACGGACACTGTGAAGCAATAGATGGGGGCGTTGATTTGACGCGCCATCGATTCCCTATTGTCAAACCAAACCAAATCAGTCACTCGGACAACCCTTTCCCTCTAGCAATTCTAGCAATTCGTCGACCAAGCTCAGTGCACTTACTCGCGACCAATCGTAGCTGACGGCATAGGCAAACACGTTGCCAGCACCGTTGAAAGAGCTGCAGGGAATGGGCTGGTTGGCCCGGTTGAAGGGCTTGAGACGCTGTCGGCTGTCCTTGTCCCAGAAAAAGAAGCAGCCGTCCGAGCCAGTCGTGGCGAACGTGCCATAAGTCGGGTGGAAGACAATGCTATTCACTGCGTACACATCGTCGCGAGTCTGGCCGTCGTTCAAGCGACCTTCGTTCAAGCGATGGCACTTGAATGAGAAGTTTCGTCTGTCGAATCGCGCCCAAATCACCAAGTCAGCAACAACAGAAAACAGCGAAAATTAACCAGCGGCAAATCCAAATAGACGCAAAGTGACGCAACTTGTCGTCGGCAGCAAACTCTGGATAGTTGACAGCCACGCGGCCTTCGATCGAGCCAATGGCGTAGCCGTTTGCTTGAGGGAAGACGGCGACGCAACGAGTTTGGTACTTGAGAGACGTCTCTTGCCGCTGGAAAACGCGGAAATCAAGCGACGAAACAAAAAAAAAAAAAAAGCAGAGGCAATGTTAGCGACCGAAAGGTGTACGTTTTATGACTGCATGCAGCGAAAGGCGGGTGCTTTCTATTTTTTTACCCAGTCAGCGGAAGGCTGGCGCAAATCAATCAAGTTAACATGGCGGTCGGCAGTGGCAACAACGGCCATGGGGTAGACGGCATCGGCCGCGTACACACGCTCCGCCAGTTGCAGTTGATTGATGCAATTGGGCGACCGCAAATCCCAGAACTAGCGACAAATCATCCAACAAAACAAAGGCACCCCGGAAATGAGACGACGAAAAAATTGCGTGCGTTTCATGTTTGCTCTTCCGACGCTCACCTTGACCATGCGGTCCCAGCCACAAGACATGAGCAATCCAGGCTCGGTCAGATAACGAATGGTTTTGATCGGTTGATCGTGCTAACAGCAGGAAGACAAATCATGACGCCAATGAGGAACGATGCCGACAAGCAAGCGCCAACAACAAGCAAGCGCCAACGAAGGTTTCATCCATCACGTACCATGGCTACTGGCATTGACTGGCCGGTACCAAGATCGAACATGTGTGTTTGTTTGTTGCAGCCAGCGGCGAAAACCTTGCTGCAATCCTGGAATGGTCAAACGAATCATCGTGAGACAGTTGGGTTTGTTTGTACTCTGGATCATTGAGAGGGCACGGCTGGCAATTGTGATGATGATGGCAATCACAACACCCAAACGTGCAATGCTTCGTATGACGTTCGAGTTGTTCCGATTGCACACACTCCAATGCACAATGCACAAATGCACACTGTGTGCGTTTTCCATTGCAAAATCCATCGATTTCGCCCCCTTTCCCCCCGCAGCTCCAAGTGCAGCAAAATCGCACGGAGCACCAATGTCGCCAGCAGCACATGACATGATGATGGATTGCCCGAGCGCACTCGCAGCGATGGTGGCAGTTAGTTCAGCAGCTCAGCTCGTCCCTATCTTACCGCGTGCCATGCAACGTCGAGGACGGGCGCGTCCATCGGGAAGACCATCTTCTGCTCGCTCTGGCCAGACATCGGATCCACATTGTAGACGCGGGTCTGTTGATGATGAGGGCGGTGCGGTGGGGGGAGAGGGGGCAGGGGGCAGGGTTTGAGAGGGGACAGAACGCAAAAGCGAGAGTTAGTGAGCAAAACAGTATGAGCAACAACAGTGGGGAAAAGGTAACCACGCTCCCTGAATATTAGTAAGGCGAAACTGCGCTTTTATCCGTTCTTTGGATCTCTCTCTCTCTGCCCTCTCTCTCTTTTTCCCTCTCCCGCTGGTCTCCCGCTGGTCTCCCGCTGGTCGCGCGCGCGCTTCCACTCACCGTTTGATCCCAGGCGCCGACAACGAGGTAGTCCAGCGTGTCGCTGGGGCAGAAGCGCATCGACGAAACGCTGTCGTCCGGCGCATTGGCCATCTCCAAGTCGTTGTTGGGGTTGTGCGGCGGTCCAACTGCTGCCTGAGCCATCGTAACACAAGGAGGAAAAGGGGGAAAAGGGGAAAAGGGGAAGGGTGAGGGAAGAAGAGGAGTTGGGGGATTGGCGGAAAGAGGAGGAGGATGGGTGTGGTTTCTGAGAAAGAAAGAAAAAAGACTGAGTGACCATCTATCTTTGGAAGGAGGGGGAAATACTGCACGCTGCGATTCACAGGTGGTCCAGCAACAGCTCAATGGGAGAGGGTTAGGGTTAGGGTTGGGGGTTTAGGGTTAGGGTTGAAGGCATCCTACTACAGTAGTATGGAGGCAAGCATTGGGCATTGAAGAGAGTTTTTGCTTTTGGCGTGCAACTTTGTTTTCGTTTCTTCTTTTTGAACTCTTTTTGCTCGTTTTTTTGGTTTTTCACTCTATTTAGTTTGTGTTTTTTGTTTTTTGTGATCTCAGATTCTGAGATTTCAATTCCACGAAAATGCAGGCGCACCGCCCAGCCGTCCGCTTCCGCCGCCCCGCCGCCCGGCCTGCCTCCGCATCCGCATCCGCATCCGCATCCACACCCGCTGCCTCATCCTCGTCGTCGCCCTCTGCGCTCATTCAGGCGCGGTGGCCCATCCAACCACTCCGCCGCACGTGCGAGCAGCACTACTCGTCCTCGTCCTCGTCCTCGTCCTTCGCTGCTGCCGAGTTTACTGCTCCAAGCAATCCCAGCAGGCAGCAGCCGAATCCACCACCACCACCACCACCACCACCACTGCGGAAGCGCGCCCGGGTGGCTGCGGCCCGTGATGCTCTGCCGCCTGGCGTTGCCGCGCCGCTCCTCGACGACGCGGACGTCTCCAGCGACGACGAGTACGACTATGCAGGATCGCTCAGGCCGTTCAGGGTGTTTGGCAAACTCGCCGACGACCTGAAGAGCGCAAAGTCGTCGGCCGCGTCGTCGTCCAAGCCAGGCAGCCGCGGCGCAGTTGCAGCTGCTCAGAATCAAGATACTGCTGCTGCAAATGCTGAAAAGCAAGATCAGGACAAGGACAAGGCCAAGGAGGACCAGAGTAGTCAAGATCACAATGCCACCGATGATGCCGCTGCTGCCAATCTCACCAAGCCAGTCGTAGCGCAACAACTGCTCGACCCTGCCGACAAGGCATTCATGGAAGCGCTACTGTCTGCGCCACAGTCCCTCAACAGCGAGTTTCATGCAAGCGCAGTCCCGTATAGCAGAGCAATGTCGTTTCCTGCGCCGTTGCACCGAGAGGGCGTCCGCTCGAGGGCGTTGGCCGTGATTTTGCGCGGCGACGCTCGAAATGTGCTCCAGCCGCTCATCTACCCGCCCACAGACAAGCCAACAGCGACCGGTGCCAAACTTCGCCGCGTCCTGCCCTTCGAAACTATCATCAATCTCATTGCCGCCGTGCACGAACACGAGCTCCTCACCACGGATTCGCCCGCCGTCTGCCTGCCGTCGCTCCAAACCCTGCTTCGCACGGACGACGAGCAAGACCTGGTTCCGACGCTTCGGGGAATCACAACTTCGCTCCCTCAGCTTCGTCAGACTGGCATTGAGACGTTGCAAAACTGGCAACGACTCATGATGATGTGCAATCCTGCATGCCCCCTTCAGCCCATGGCAGACCACTTTGACTGGCCCAAGCATCTTACTGAATTGAGCTCCTTGGAGAAGGCGCGGCAGCGAATTCTCGCAGACAATGCCTGGAACCTCGCGATAGATCATCACGAGCGAGTCCGCTTGGCATTTTGGGAGAAGGCCACCGCCGCGCTCCTGTCCTCGCCGTACGTTGATGCAAAGCTCGACGAGCACCTGCGCATTCTCAGTGTCAATCTTCATACGCGAAAAGTGGAGGACCGAATGCGCCCCATTTACGCTGCTCGCCATGCCCTCCAGCATGCCCTCCAGCAAGCCGACCTCGCTCGAGACCCACCTTCTGCCGAGAACGAGCCCGTTGCTGAGCCCGTTGCTGAGCCCGTTAACGAGCATGTTCATGAGCGTATTGTCATGGCTGTCGAAGAAGACTCTGACTCGGATGCATGGGAAGACGAGGACGAGGACGGCGCCGAGGCTGCGGACGACGACGACGACGACGACGAGGACGCCGAGGCTGCGGACGACGACGAGGATGACGATGCTTGGGAAGATGACGATGTGGACGGCGACGAAGAAGAAGTGCTTGCAGCTCCCCATGCTCCGACCAGAGGTCGATATTCTGGGCTTTCAACATCTTACGATAGTTCTTTGCGCGCGCCTCGCATTGACGCAACCAGCAGCTTCGACCCAGACAACCTGGCCGCGGGCTTCGCTCCGGCCTTCAACAAGCCGTTGCACCCTCGTTTCCTCACAAAGTGGCCGCAGTCTAAAGCGCACCTCGATCCTGTCTTTCAGCTGCTCGGCCCTCTCTTGCTGCAAACACAAACGGCAGCGTTACTGTCGGAGCACGATAGGAACGATCACAATGTGACCACCCTCGTGCTGATGGGGGTTCTCGGAGCCAACGCGTGCCCGCCGCGGACCTTCATTTCGCTGGTGCATCAAGCTGCGCAGGACATCCATGGCCAATCGGTCTTTGATCGGCATTTGAACCGCTTTGTGCAGGCGCAAGTCTTTTTGGAAGAGCGATTTGTCCGCAACACACTCATTCCGCCAGCCCTGAACGGCATTCGAAAGTCTGCCATGCAAAATCCACTGCGTTACGTTGACGAGCAGCCTTCCGGGTCGGCACCAGTCACCGCCTACGGCGGCCATGACCAGGTGGCTTGCAGCGTTGCCACCGGATTTCTGACTGGAATTGCCGGTCTTGAGCAGCAAGAGGTCATTCTCGTTCTCGGCTTTGACCGAATCACGCCGCTCTTTGTGTTCCCCAACGCCGAGGTTTGTTCCCGCTTTTTTTTGTTCTTTCACTTCTTGCATCCTTTCTTTGTTTTTGTTTTGTTTGAAGTTGCTTGCTGTTTGCGAGAAGCGAGAGGGGGCAAGTGACGCAGTGTATCCTCTTTGTACTGCCGCCAGAGGATTGAATTTGCGCTCACTGCCGTGCCTTGATTGTCTTCAGATTGAATTTCCTTCACCCAACAACTCGGTCGATGTCAAGAATCACGAACAATTCTTGCACGAAGCGATCGATCGTGCAAGTGCTGCTCCTGCTCCCCTACCGCCTCGGCCTTTAAGCATGCCTTCAATTCATACTCCGAAGCTCTTGACGCAAATTTGCAACCCTCGTTCGCTGATGGGGCCCACAGGGCCAGTTCGACCCGCTATGGAGCCAGTTCCGTCCGTGCCAGGTTATTTTGACGAGTGGACCCTCGCCGATTTGACGAACGGTCAACTCGATCAGGCGTTTGGAGTGTGCTTCAAGGCTGGATACATTGCCCTTGGATTTGATGCAGGCGTGGTCATTCTGCTTCGTCCGACAACCCGGCATAGGTATGTTCCCATTCCATTCCGGTGATTTCGTTTTTAGCTGCGATTTGCTCACTCCCGGGTGTGTATGTGTGTGTGTGTGATGGTTTGCTTCATCATTCGTCTGGTTGCTCGGTATCCGGCATGAACACAAACGTGCTGGCAGGCTTTCGTACGGGGTTGTTGCAAACCTGCAACTTGAGCAACTCGAGATGGTGAATGCAATCGATCTCGTGCCGATCTCGGATACTTCGCTCACGTTGTACTTGGCACTGAATGCGCGTTGCATTTGCATTACGACCATTCAACTTGGCGAACCGCCCGTCCACCGTTACATTCACGGATTTGCTGGACGCGTCAACCACGTCGCTGTCAGTCCCAACGGCCAACACCTGGCCGTGTGTTGCGATTCGTTGGATGGGTACCTGCTCGACATGGCAAACCTGCCCACTCGCGTCTCTTCCCGCGATCAGTTGACCACGCGTAAGTAACTTTTTGCTTGCTTGCTTGGCAATCGACGTGTTGTGTCCGTGTGTGCGAGAAACATTTTGTTTTCCGCAGCTGCACTGCTCTCGTGTTCCGTGGTTGGTTTTTAAAAGTGTGCTCACTCGGGGCTCACCACAGCTCGAGCCGTCAAAGAGAGGAGAGCGGATAGGATCGATTCGTGCATGTACCAAGCATGGAGCAAGAGTTCCAAGTATCTTGCACTGTCTTCCGACACCCACAACTGCGCTATGGTGTGGAATGCCGAGACTCGAACTCTGGTCGAGCTTGGTGAAGCAACAGGTACTGCGCAATTTCGCGTACTGCACGATTTCAAGTGTATGGGGCTTTTTGTAGCCGAGCACTTTTTGTTTTTGCTAACAGTGAAGCAAATCAGGTCCTGTCCTCGCCCTTGCGTTCTCTCCGTTGGATGACAACATTCTTGCATATGCTGAAAAGCAGTCGGTGGTCCATTTGCTCAACGTTGAGACCGGTGCGCATCAACTGATTTCGCTGTTTGGCCATTCCATCACGGGTTTGGCCTTCACCTCTCGTGCCGACCTGTGCATTTGTAAGTGGTGTGGGGTTTTTTTTCTGTTTTGTTCTGCAGCCGCGATTGACTGCTTCGAGAATCTATGGGATGAATTTATTGACACAATTCGCTCGTTTCGCTTTTGCCAATGGACAGCCACGGCTTCGGATCTGATTGTTTATCGGCGCCACACCATCCCCACGCTCGCCGAGTTGTGCATGCAACGGGTTCGCGAGCACTCTCGGCAACAGGGACTCTCGCGCCACCAACTGGAATCGCTTTGGGCTGACCTCCAGTTGATTCCGACTGACGTGCACGACAATTTGGTCGCCGCCGGTCCCGCTCTCTTCAAGCCATATCCTCTGGCGACGCGTGTTGAGCTTCCCAGGGTTTGGTGGGCGTAGAGTTTTGCCCCCTTGTGTGCTGGGTTTCAATGTTTAACAAAAAAAACATGATCACAGACCCACCCCGTGTTCATTCCGCTTGTTTTGTCATCTTTGTTTATTTGTGGGCATGACAACAAGAGTAACAAGAGTGGGGTTTGACCGATGGATTGCATCTTCCATTGAAGAATCCCCACCGCGTTACAACGACCGCTCAAAAACATGCAGTTTGGCCGAGCGGGCACGAGGGTTGCGGTGGATTTCGTGCTCGCTGGGGCCAATCGCTTTGTGCAACACAGTCAGTGGTAGTGCGCGCGACGTGGGGAAGTGAGTGGGGTCGTTGTTGCTCTGCATCTGTTCAAATTCCTGCAGTTTCTGGGCGAGAAACCGATCGTTTAGCGAAATGTGACGCGGGCGAGAACTGTCCGCTGAACGTGCGTTGGATGCTGCTGGTGCATCTTCGTCAAGACTCCGCACGGAATCAGCAGCTAGAATGGCGGTGGGGCTTTGCAAAAAACGTCGCAGTGCAGTTGTTTCGGCGCCTTGAAAAGTAATCACGGCAAGTCTGCCGCCAGGACGCAGAAGGGCGATGGCCTGACCCAACCCTGCCCGAAGCTCTGATATTTCGTCATTCACAAACACACGAAGGGCTTGAAATACTTGGCGAGCAGGGTCTTTGACTTTTCGGCCTTGAAAGCGAAACGCGCCAGGTTTGTCCAGGGCAGGATTCTGGCGAGGCTGGGGAGCTTGCCGACTGTCAGGAGCATCTGGCTCGTCCAGCGACAAACCAGAGTCTTGAAGGTCGTCGTCCAGCATCTGTGAGAGCACGGTTGGAGACTGGCTGCGCTGAGACTGCAAGTACGCTTTGATCTTGTCCCAGTGGAGTTGCCACTCCTTGTACTCTGCTTCCGAAAAGACTGCCCTGCGTGCAATATCCGCCAGCTGCAGCGTTGATTGGATTGGGGTTGTTTTGCGTGTTCGGACGATGGCATCCGCAATCGCACGTGCCTTTGGGAGCTCACCATACAGCCGGAGAATGTGTGTGAGTTCTTCACAACGCAGTGTTGCCAGTACGGTGGCTGCTGTTGGGATGGCTGCGAGCTCAAACGCCGTGCCGGCCCCCATCCGCATGTCCAAAGGACCGTCGCAGAGAAACGAAAATCCGCGCGTGGCATCGTCCACCTGCGTGCTGCAAAACCCGATATCCATCAGAATGCCGTCGACTGATCCGGGCTGTATGCCTTGGTCTGCCACCAGTTGCCGCATCTGGGAGAAGGACCCTTGCAACGGACGAAAACGCGAGCTATGAAACAACGAATTGGTCTGGCCAAGCTGCTCGGCCCGTTGAATGGCATCCGGATCGCGGTCGATCGCAAATAGAGTAGTGTTTGGTGGAGCATGCCGCAACAATGCTGCAGAATGCCCGCCCGCCCCAAACGTCGCGTCAAGGAGAATGAGAGGAGGTCGAGTTGGAGCGAGCGACGATTGCGGCAAGCCCGATTCCTGGGGTTTGGCCGTGGGTGCCTGGGTTTTGAGCTCGCCCAGAGTATCAGTAAGACTGCTGCTTGCTTTTGAGTGAGATGCGAGCTGGATCACATCCGGTTGTGATCCTGCCTGCGGCTGGACTGTGGCCAAGCTGACAAATGGATCAACGACACTGTGGCTGACCGCGCCAACCGCCGCCTTCGACGCCGCCGCCGCCGCAGCGGAAGAGGTTTGCATAGCAGCAAGTGTTCCTGGCAGAAGCGCATCGACGACGCGGTGGATGAGCACTGGCAGATGGAGCTGAGCGAGCGGCGACGCGTCCAGCATGGCATCGAACGCAGCGTCATTCGCGGCCTCGCTGGCGGCCAGCCTGTCATCAGCATAGCTGTGACGATCGCCAGCATGACTGTGATGATCATCGCTCTGGTCACTACTTGGATTGGTGCTTGGCCTGTTCAGCTCGACCGTGGATCTGTCTGCCTGAAGCTGAACAAGCTGCTTCTTGGCGCGGTAGCTTGACTTGGAGCGCATCGAGCATCGCAGGGCATTGCATGATGACGAGATGGCCAGGCGACCTGCACGCGCGATCGGGACTGCTGCGGCGGTGGGCAGGCGGGCGAGCCAGCAGCGTGTTGCTGTTGACATGTCTGAGAAAACAAGTGGGGAAGGCAACAACAAACAGAAACAGCAAACAAACAAAAACAAAAACAAATAAAAGTTGCTCAGACAGAACTGAACTCACAAGTTCAATTGGATTTCATTGCTGTATTTGCAGTTCACTGTCTGACTGGACAGCAACGCAGTCGGACATGCAGGATACAGCTGGGACTCGTTCGCACGGATACACGCTACCTGACAAGACGAAAGCCAACCGACTGAAACCGAAACATCACTGGAAATGTCAAAATGGTGCATTCAGAAAAGAAAATTACAGCCGAGCCATCAATAGGACAAAACAGCACAGCAATGACGAGCGAAAAGTATTCAAGCTCGGAACCTCAAAGAGAACAGCAAAGGCCGAGAAAAGTCGGGCAAAACTGAACAGCATGATTGGAGAGGAAAAAGTGACAGTTAACGCTTGCCCCATCCAAACAGACCCTTGACCGTTCCAAACACGCCTTCGGCTGGGGCCGCTGTTTGTTCGGTGGTGGGCTGCGCCGGCGCCTGCTGCTGCTGCTGCTGCTGCTGCTGCTGCTGTGCGGCTTGCGGCTGTTTGGGCTGTGGGGCGGCCTTGGCAGCCGGCTTCTTCGAGGCAGCACGATGGCTGAGAGATGGCAACGTAACTGCATTGAGGGCCAGATCAAAGAACAAGGGCTTGCCGGCAACGACTCCGAAATCCGGCGGGAAGGTGATGATGTTTGGCTTTTTGCTGTGCAGGGACGGATCTTGCAGGTAGATATCAAGGCGATCGGTAAGCGGCTAACGTTCGCGTCGCCAGACAAAACAATCAGGGTCCAACAAGTAGGCGCAGAAGAGAGAAGCAAAGTCAGCACAACAAGAATCAAGAAGCAAAGCAAAAATTTTCCCCACTACTACCACCACCTCCCCTAATACCACCACCAACCACCACCATCTCGTGCGGACTTGCCTTGGCAGTAATGGCAGCAAGATCGGCTTCGGACAGAGCATCGTCCGCGACAACTGCGGACTTGCCTTGGCAGTAATGGCAGCAAGATCGGCTTCGGACAGAGCATCGTCCGCGACAACGGTCGATTAGCGCATCAATGTCATCCTGTTGGCGAATGGAGAAATGAAACGTAGAGGTAAAAGGGTCAAAAGCCAACCATGCGTGTCATCCTGTTGGCGAATGGAGAAATGAAACGTAGAGGTAAAAGGGTCAAAAGCCAACCATGCGTGTCAGACGTTGCAGTTTGTGGTTTGTTTTTTTGTTTTTTTTGTTTTTCAGCAAAGCAAGCCTTACATGGAACTGGCCAGAATTGGCGCACTGCTCAAAGTGAGCCACGGCGTTGGCGCGATGGCTACTTGAGCGATCGTACAGGGCAATCGCTTCGCGCCATTGGGACATGTGCAAATACGACTCGGCCACGTAGAAGCAGCGGAAGGTCTTAAAGTACAGCGTCCGAGCAGCCAGCTCCTTGGTGAACTCGGGGTCGTTGTCAAGGCCTCCCAGCTCGTTCATGTCGGCCAAGTTTTGCAGAATAATGTCGTACAGACGAACAATGTCGTCGGGGCGCGTTGGCTTGGACGCGGCATCGTGCACAGCGACCGTTGCTGAGGCAGCAGCTTCAGTTTCAGCCGGAAGACGTTCTTTGGCGGCCGCAATCAAGATGAGGTTGCGCTCGATCGTTCGGCTCAATTTTTGATACGAAATGTAGGCCAGTAAGAAGCGGAGGGTGTCGGCCAAAGCCTCAGACTTTTGAGCGCCCTTCTTGTCGTCTAAAAATTGTCCC